TTATCCGCTGTGAGGGTCCAAAGGACAGAGGGATGTCGTATGCTGTAAAGCCCTGTGAGGCAAATTGTGATTTGTGATATTGGGCTTTATAAATAAAATTGATTGATTGATTGAATGTTGCAGTGTACAGTAATATTTCAGGTGAGAGTGTGCTTCCCACAGTTTTTCAGAGTGTCTATTAGCTCCCCCCTTAGAGTAGTCACACTGCAGCTACTTAGTTATTTACACCCATCCCTTCAACACAATATTATGGATTCCATTGCATGCTGTGATTGGCTACTACTCGTCCCATTGACGCATCCAGGCTGGAAGCAGTTAGGATTAAGGCAAAGAAGTCATGGTTAGGGCTAATACTAGCCTGAGATTAAAGTGGAAAATTTACAAGAAAAAACATACAGATGTACTGCCAGTCAAGTGACATAGTTTAAAGAGCAACTTAGAACATGGTGGGTCAATGGGTCAAGCACAGCACTTTAACACAGGAGACTGGTGTCTGATTCTTGTGGGAATCAATGTTGGCATATTATTGTCAGACTTAGCTGACTTATTGTTTGTATTGTCTTATTGTTATTGTCAATTTTTAGGATGTACAAAGCTGCTGCATGTAACACACTGTGTACATAGACTTTAGCAGAATAATACCTGTTCATGTTAACGTCATATTTTGATGTTGCTAGGATGTCTATTTTGTCTTTTTTTCTAACTCCAGGCCTTATCACCTGACATCAGCACTCAACCTCACTGATACTTCTGTGGATGAAAGGAATCTAATCTCTGCAGACAGATTTCAAAATCTTGTGGAAAGCCTTCTCTGAAGAGTGGAGGCTTGCGTGTTATAGCAGTATGTTCATGCTCGTGATTTTGGAATGATATCTTCAATTTCTTGGCATTTGCATTTATTTGTCTTTTCCTTCCTGCAATGCACATTCCTTCCAGTCGTACCTTGCTGCCATAGATGGTTGTTTTTCGGTTGCAAATCTCCTCAGTGAAAGCCACCATGGAAAAGGCTGCTGTCAGACCCCCTTCAAACTCCATGTTAACAACCTGGGCAAACAGAACAGATAAGCTGTAGGGAAACATCAGCAGCAGTCTGGACATATTAGCTGAAATGATCAGACTCTGTAGTTTATTTTGACCTAATGACTGATACATAGAAATGGTTTGATACCACCATGGATACTGGTGTATCCAAGTTATATTTAAGCAATAATACAATTTGATGGGCTAGAGAGGCACTCAGCTTGTGGTGCTCAAAGCACCAAATAAATCTTAAAAATTCAACAGCAATGTCTCTTGCCAGAAATTATGACCCAGTTACTCAAGATAATTCACAGACCTTGTTGTGGGCAATTTAATGTAGGAACTATTTTCTTTCTACTGAACTACACCCACCAACTGTATCACTGCACTGAATCCATCCCACTGAAGGAAAGAGGAATTTAAGAGTTTTACTGAGCTAGCTAACGATACAAATCAGCTGAGGAGGAAGTGATTTATGTTTACATCTCATACTGTCACAAACACGAGTCTCTCATCCATGAGTAGATGCACGCTTCTTATGCATGGTCATACGGTTGGTGGATGTAGTATGTATGAAGTATGGTTCCTACATGAAACTGCTCGCAACAAGGTCTGTGGATTATCTTGAGTAACTGGGTCATGATTTCTGTAGACATTGTTGTGAGTTTTTCAAGTGTATTTTTGGTGAATGCCATCTAGTTCCATTATACTGGAGAGAAGGCAGACATCTTAACTGCCGATAAACGCACACCAAAACTATCTTAACTGATAAACAGCACTACAGGGAAGAGAAGAAAAATATTATTTTTGATTTTGAGGTGAACTGTCGGTTTACGTGTGTTATAAAGCCAGTGTTTTCTAACCTGGTTACTGCAGACATCATTGTCACACTCGTAGACACAGCGGCCATATGGTCCAGTCTTCAGGGCCTCAGTTACTGACTCGATGTCTGGGTCCGAGCTCTGGCATATGACTGATACAGGCCAGCCAGTGTGACCCTAGCACACATACCACACATATGAAATCATGTACAGCAAGTAAAGTATTATGTTCACAGAATCCATAATTGGTGAAACTATTATGTTGAAATATGAATCTGTTTTACTCTATCCAGGTAGATTTTGCGTGCTGAGTAGGGACAGTCTTTTTCTATTGCACAATCCAGGCAGCGATCTCCAGCACCTGTTGGCTGACAAAAAAATGAGCAACATTTTATATTCATGCTTAGTATTTCGTTTTGCAAAAATGCAGAGAACTTTGATTGATGTGATACATCTTAATGACACAAAAATATAACTCAGCAATGTTGAAAAGGATTAAAGTGCTGTAATGTTATGTGCTGTTTCTCAAAAAAATTATAGATCTACAATAAAAACAAAAAGGAAAATATAATCACATAGATTGTTTGTTTCATATCTGCAGCGATTACTTGTTTCCTCTGTGATAGTCATGATTTCTTTGTATTAGGCCTCATACGGTGAAGAGTTCACAGACCTTGTGTTTTTTTCCAAAGTGGCTTACAGATCCAAATGATGACACTTTCAAACACCTGCCGAGTACAAAGTTAATGATTCATCTCAGGCAAAACAGGACGACTTCACAGAAAACAACCTCGCCCACGTGAAAACACAGACTGTGGTCCAACAAATGTGTTAAGTGTATATACTTCTGAACATCAAGAGCAGAGTTTTACCTGTGTGCTCCAGCCCAGTGATGTATTAGGTCGATGTCGTGGCACGATTTAGCCAAAAGAGAAAACGAGCTCTCTGCTTCGTTCCTCCAGTTCCCTCGAACATATGAGTGAGCAAAGTGATAAAACCCAACCTGCAACAAGAGGTTGACAAGACAAATCAGTAATCTGTTACAGTAATGCCTTGAATTAAAAACAAAAAAAAGTGTTAAAAGCAGGAATACTGTTACTGATGGATGTGTGAGTTTAATGAGGAGCCCTGAGGGTTTGCAGCATTACTGTCTTTATTTCTATTCTGTTGACATTTTTACCGGCTCAAAGTGCTGAATGTGCATCACATCACCTATGACTCCAGCATCTATCAGCTCCTAGAAAAGAATAAGAAAAAAAAGAGGTAGAAATCCATATTTGGACGTTGTGATTCTCTTTACCAGTCTGGGTGAGGAAAAGTGTCTTTGACATGTTTAATTTATAAGTATCCATACAGACGTCTTTAAACCCAAAACTGTGACTCATGCCTGGTAAAGAAAACTGTCAAGTGTTTTCATAAAGTGTGACAGAAAATGTTCACCTTAATCATGTGGATGAGAGGATCATACCGGAGAACATGGCCCACTGATAGTATCACTCCACTCTGAGTGCAAGCCTCCACAATTGCTCTGCAGTCTTCTGCAGTTGTCTTCAGTCATGTGAGGACATTGGTGAGCAAGGAAGGCATGAGTGTCACACAAATGCAATCATGGAAAGAAAAAGACAGAGGTGGTTTTGTATTTCAGAAACTGACACAAACTAGCAAAAAAATAAATTAAGAATTACAAACTAACATGAAAGATAATTTATGTTTATTAACAAAGCACTCACAGCCATTGGTTTCTCCAGCAGAATATGGTAGCCTTTCTGTGCAAAGGCCACTGCAGGTTCCTGAGGAACAGAAACTAGTTTAATAACAAAAAAGAACTATGACAAAGTTTTTCAAATAATTCAGACTGATAATGAGGTGTGTTCACAGAGCTGAACAGTAAATGTATATAAATATCTATAGTGTTTACCTTATGAAGGCGGTCTGGAGTACAAATTAACACTGCATCTGCAAACTTCTCTCTTTCGATGACACTGGGCCAGTCTAGTTTGAAAAAAGCACATTTAATAATTTAGTATGAGGCAAATATTAACAGATATAAACACTTAAATGCATTTTTTCCCCTTTTGTATTCACCTTCAAATATGTTTTCATCTACAACTTTGTGTTGCTGTTGAAGTTTAGTGCGAGCAAATTTCCTTGGATCAGCTACTCCAACAACCTAATGGGGAAGATGAGTTGAAGAAAGGCGCATTACAAGTGCTCTGTTAGAAAATAAGTAGAAAAAAGTATTCAGATCATTTACTTAAAGGTCCAGTGTGAAAGATTTAGGTGGATATACTGGCAGAATTTGATATAATATTCCTAACTATCTTTTTACTACGTTCTGCAGCCTCACCACTAGATGTTACTAACTTCACCACACTAGACCTTTAAGAAAAGAAGCAGTGCATCAGGGAAAAATATGAGTAAAACCACTAAAATAATAATAATGATAATAAAAAGCATAATAATCAAAATGAACCTATATTGTTGCAGGAAACATGGATTTGACGATCTTCTTGTACTTTGACAAACTTTCCTTTTATACTTTACATGTTTCTGTCATGAATATCTTGTCAGTGATCTCATCTGGGATCATTTAGCTCACAGGTTTTACGGTGGAAGAATATTGTTTATAGATACAGTAAATCAGCAACACAATCCACAAAAAATACGGAACTGTGTCCTTGATGACAAGTTCAGGCTGCAGGGCAACCTCTCCTGACCTTAACTCGTTCAGGGTGGATCGATGCATAGTGGGAGTAGTTATTCCCTCGATTGCCAGCTCCTATCACGATGACACGGACAGGGGTCGTCATTTTGCCACCCTGTGAACTTTAACACAAATCAAAACTTGTAAACACACCTTTTACAATGGCTGAAGTAAAACACACTAATTATTAGTCAGTCAGAGGCTGATACAGCTGGTCCCTGTCAGGGACATCATATACCTCCTGTAATCTGGGTTATTATTTACAACACCTAGTTCTCTAAATATAGATTATCCGTCATTTAAATTAACTATATAAACACACCTAAATCCTTCTAAATATACTGAATAAGGATAATAACAGACACGGTATATGAAAGTATGTAGCTAGCTCATTAAAATACTGTTTCTGGTAAATAATATTTGTTAGTTAATGACTTGGTTGTTTGGCTCAGTACCTGTTTTGTCCCATACAGCTGTCAAAACCTTCTGTCTGTCCTCCGCGTCTGTCCAATTTTGTAGGAAGACGCCCACAGACACGTCCAGAGTCCACTGAGGTGATGACTACAGCAGCAGTAACGATGTTTCACTTCTTCGAACAAAAAAGCCTGCAGTGAAGCAGTCACAAGGTGACATAACGCCCCCTAGAGTATGCACAAGGACCTTCTGCTGCATTCACTGCCCCTCGTTAACTCTTATTCACTTGTTAGAAAAGAGAAAAATGCACATACGACTGGACATATTAATCAGTCATCCATATGATAGGATATCTGGAAGTAACATGCAGTTGGAGTTGTTGTTTCAAAGACCTTTAACACCTTTAACAGAGCTTAATCAATTCGTTTATTAATCATCCTCCTGGGGTTGCAGACATGCTTTTTTATCGTTTCATGTTCAATCCATATTCTTCTTCTTCTTCTTATTATTATTATTATTATTTAACAAAGATAGTTATACAATTCGACAAGCAAACAAACAAACAAACAAAACGAAACCTATATGCACAGGAGTATCATTTAACAAGTGACAAAGACATTCAAGAATATATTTAAGGCTTTTCAAATATGTGCTGTTGAGTTGCTTTACTATGTAATGTTTCAATATGATATCTATTTTCAGTTGTTGTATGTGTAGCACCGTTTTAGTCCGTTTGCATTTGTGAATAGAATTTTCCATATAAAACAAAGAGGTTCAAAGTGTACTTTTTTGCAATATAATTCTTAGAATAAAAAATATAATGTCTCTAATTTCTAGATGAACAAATGAACAGGTCAACGTCTTACAGAAGTATTCAAAATCTATCCAAAATAAATTTATACAGAGGCATTTATAAATTAATGATAAATTAAAGTTACAGTTAGAGTTACAAAACACACATTTTCCATCAATACCATCTCTGAATCTTGAGAGCACCTGGTTTAGAGGGTGAATCAAATATATAATTTTAGATAAGACTTAACTGACTTTGTTGGTGACAAATTCCAAAATGGCTGAACAGGAGGCCTTGTGGACCCCTCCTAAGATAGCTGTACATTTTTGTCTGTGATGCATATTCCATCTAACATAAGGTTATGTTTAAACTGTGGATTCACACCAAGCATCTTATTTACTCACATTCAATTCAACAGAGCAGAAAGTTTTGCATCAATAATTATGGCAAATTCTTTAGGAGTTTAGGATTTTGTATTTCTGGAGAAATTCTGTTTAGGTAAAAAGAAGTCCGTTTTCATTAAATAATTGCATCACCAACAAGGTGTCAATTTTAACCCAGCTGTCAGTAAAATCGTTTTATATTTAAACCTTATATCTTCATTAGTCCACATTAAACATATATGTGGAGAAAATTTGGTTTCTAAATGGGGTAATGCAAAGTATGGGTAATGCAAAAATATTTCCGACCGCACCCGAACGCAACATTGTAGCTACATCTTCGTATCTATTGTTCTATGTATCTATTCTTTCATGTATTTCTTGTTTTCAATAAGGACAAATGTGTTATACATATTAGAGTGACTCATCACAATGTGCAGTGAGTTTATGACGCATAACGTGGTTTTAGTTACGTCGCTAAATTACTAAAATTACACGTTATTTCTTAGTCATACTGTTGTCTACCTCGTTAGCTGCTATCACAACTCAATAAAAGAAGTCTAATACACAAAAAACAAATGACAAACAAAAAAAGACCATGAATATTTATCACATTATCACAAACAGTCCGCCCAAACATGCAAACCAAACGTAACTTCAGAGGGTCTTCGGGAATCTTCGGCTACCTCCGTCAGTTCCGATCGATACATACAGCTCGGGTCACATGACGCGATTAGCTCTCTGCAGCATGAGCTCAGCTTTCTGCTGCTCGTTAGCTACAAACATTTCTGATGCTAACTAGCGCCTGATTTTGCTATCTAAATATCCTCTGAGTTAGAAAAGTAGCGTAACTTCATAGCAGAGTATTTTGTAGAAGACCAATCTTAGAGCTATATAACACGGAATCGCGCTTTTAGACATATTTTGAGAGCTTCTCTGTGCTAGCAAGCTAAGGTTAGCACGTTTGCTAACGTGAACACCAACATGAATATTGACAACGTTAATCAGTCTGTCACAACCGGGGTGTCTTCTACGACGTCTTCAACTGCAAGTAATTGTATCGCAAATGATAATGCAACAACTAACGTCAGCAGCATCCCTTCGGTCACGAGTAATGGTAACGTTATGTGACTTTTACTGATGTTATTGTCCATGTTGTACTCAACACTAGGATAGCTAGCTAGGGTATGTTTCAATGAAGTTAGATGACTTGTCAGGCAGTCTCATTGTATGTGCAAGTACATCTAACACTTGTTTGCATCCTTTCTTCAGGCAATGCAGCTTGACACCCTTTCTTTTATGTATAAACTGTAACACCTCTTTGTGCAATGCACAAGTTAGCCATACACCTTTGTTCCTTTCGTTTATCATGACTTCATCCTAAATATTTCTATTACAGCTTCAACCTCAGCGGCCATGGTGACACCATCAGCAGACTCATCTGTCTCCAACGGCGTCTATGTTCCTGGTGGCATCACCAATGGAGATGTGAAGCCTGCCCTCTCCACCACGCCTCTGGCAGATTTCCTCATGCAGCTGGAAGAGTACACTCCCACAGTAAGTCAAGTTTAGGCAGTGAGCTCACTATGCACTGCATTTATAGGACACATTGTTGGAAAGACCACAAATTCAAATAGGCTATATGTTCAAATTATTAACAGCTAAATTTTATTTAATGTTGGAAACACCTGGCAGGTTTGTCTTGCCTGCCAGTCACATTTACAGTTCACTGTAGCAAATTCAATTGAAATTCAGTCAAAAAATACTTATATTCAAGTAGTGTTGTCACGATACCAAAATCTTTGTTTCGGTACCAATACCAATATGAATTTCGATACTTTTCGATACTCTTCAGTACTTTTCCAAAGGTTCGGTAAGTACCTTGGTATGGACGTCACGGTTTGGTAACTCAAATGTTCCACCAAGTTTGTGTTGTCTCCCTTTGCGAGGCAGACTTTCTCTTGTCTTTTTTCACGTGCGCCAGCTGCGGATGTTGATACAGGTGTTGTCTTACACACCACTTGCGCAATCTGTGCTTCAATAGGAACAAGAAAGGCGTGTGTGTGCATAAATGAGTAAAAAAAATTAACTAAATTAATGAATTGAATCAATTTCAAAGTACCGGTATTTTCCAAATGCAGTATAGTACCGTTTGGAATACTCTAGTACCGCGGTACTATTTTAGTACCAGTATACCGTGCAACACTATATTCAAGTAAAGATATATAAATTCAAATACCCAGATGGGTACAATTACAGTATGTATGTTTCTCATCCAGTGAATCACACTCATTCTTGGGAACTGAGGTAAAACCTTATTTTTCAGGGGTTATACATTTTTCTCCACTATTAGGCTGGGAAAATATGTTTTAAAAGACCAATGTCCTGAATATTAAACCTTGTAATGGGCCAGCCTTTCAGGGATTAAAGTTTTTGCTCGAACAACAAGCATGATTGATGTCAGAGGTAAGATCTGACAGAGTTGACAAAAAGTAATATATTTATTAATTTCACAGCAGTTGTAGTGGATTTATTTTTTTAAAGTTGCTTAGAGTTCTCTTAACGCTAATCAAATTACTCTTTTAAAATCATAATTCTTATTTAGTTCTGATTTAGAAGGGCTACAGAGTTGATATGTTATGAATTGAGACTTAACAAATAGAAATATTATTTAATGAATTTATTAAAAAAAAAAAAAATAGAGGGTTTACCAGTACTTGAACAGCATTCCTGCCTTTGTGGAAACCAAGAAGTGAGACAGGAGTCCTTGAGGTATAGATAACCTCTTTTATGCCTGGTTGAATGATGTTTTTGTAGAAATCTGATGGAGCTGACAAAAATCTGGGACACATCCTGTAAGGGCCGACATTTTCACAAAAATATACATTTTAAAGTAGATAAAACAGTACATTTTTACACTTATGTTATCAGTACGTCTTGAAGGCTTTTACCACATATTTTAATTGTTTAAAGTTGTGAATTCTTTTCCGGGACAAGCCTTTTTCCTGGCACAGTGCAAGTTCAAAAGTTTAAAAAATCAAAGTATTTTCTAAATATATTATATTTGTTTATTTCATATGAATAAATCCTTTAAAAATAATGTGTAACCCCAGAAATGGAATGAGTGTGTTTGTGAGTTAAAATTTAAAGTTGTTGTGTTGTTTTTTTTTTTTTAGTTTTTTTTTTTACATGATTTCAAGACTGGGTGATTATTTAATTAAAAAGTGAGGCACTCAATCGCATTGATGCAAAAATCCTGTAGGCCTAAATTTAGTATTGCCATAAAGCAACTTAATGAGTTGCCTCTGTACAAACAGTGAAATAAAATCACAATGTAGTTAACAATATTTATTTGACATTCATGACATCACACAGTATATACCCCCTGCCCTTGGTACACATGACATTTTGTTATTTACCAAGCACTATATACCTTAAATAATGCTGTTAGTTTCCTGTCGTGGCCAGTGTTCCTGCTGCAGTTCATTTGGCTGAACATCCTTGAATGGTAGACATACTGTAATATTGCTCTACATAGATAGGTGTCAGTTGCAGTAAAAGCAGGTTATGTGAATTTTTTTTATTATTATTTATTTATTATTTTTTTCTTTTTGCCCCCCTCAGATTCCTGATGCAGTTACAGGCTACTACCTCAACCGGGCTGGCTTTGAGGCTTCTGATCCAAGAATGTGAGTGCATCATTGACTGACTCTATAGCTTAGGCTTCCCTCAAGCTTCAGTGTGACCAGGTCTTTCAAACACTTAGTGGGACAAAATGACACAAATCACAGTGCTGTTACATTCAAAAGTTAGTCATAATTAGGGCTGAGTATCATTTAAAAAATTACAATGCCAGTGCCAATACCAGTACCCTTAAAGTGATACCAATACCAGCAGAGTACTTTATTTGATATCATTTTTTTTCCTACTTCATTTGACACCCATCATGTGAATGGAAGCATTCATTTACATAAAATGCCACCAGGCGCCTCAGGTGTGTAGTATAGCTATACTTTCAAATGTTTGGGTGCCATCTTGGCAAGCTGAATTTCCAACTCCGTCACAGACACTGTGCTCGAGTTGACCACAGGGTTGTAGCTGCTGTGGTAGTGGGCCAATCACAGGTAGCATTAAATGGAAGAACGCTTATGGTGATTAGCTACAAGCAAAATCTTATAATAGTGAGATCTGGGTACAAAGAAGATTGAATGCAGGTATCATTTGACTGGAGAATTTTTTAGACATCTTGGAGCGGGGTTATTTCAGACGATATCTTAAAGGTATTGAGTACCGATACCCAGCCCTAGTTAAACCACCACAGCAGGTATAAAGGGAGTGCTTTTGAAGGTGTTAATGAGAGGCACATTGTAAGGCCCTTGGTTAAAAGTGCTATATAAAAGCAGTCCATTTATCAGTCTATTTGGCTTTTTAAATTATTTGTTGGGAGTTCAAAGATCTGAGAAACTGAATCTGAATTAAAAGTTTAAATTATGAATCCAAACATCTTTTGTAAGTTAGCAGGCAGACCATATGTGGAGTTTTAAAAAGGATTATGTAACTCTTTGCTGTGTGTTTAATCATTAACCCGGGACAGGCTGTTTGGTATGTTTCCTTATGCGCATAATGATTTGTGGAAACAAATGTAGCTTTGTGCCTGAGTAGTTTAGATAAATTGATTTTATTACTGCTTGTGAAGATGACTACTACTTTAGTTCAGCAGCTTTCAATCAGGTAATGTGCTTGGTAGATTATTATGGGGTTTGCTGAATGATAATGCTATTGTAAATGTCTTTTACTAACTAAAACTGGCGTATACCAATATACAGTATACGCCAGTGCTGCTACTAATCCTCCATACTTGCCTTCATTGGCATGTGTGAGCATGAAGTACAGACACGTTAGCCTAGTCGACCATTTACAGTCATCTTTATGATTGTTGTAATTGGCAGTAAAAAGTGTAAATGAGATCAGATGAACTCTCGTTCTGACCTAGTAGTTTGTTTTTTCCATGCGAGATATGGATAGACAGAAACATACATGCTGGCTGAGTACAGACAGTAAAAACCACAATATTGATTTTTCTTTTTCATTTCTTTAGAATCCGTCTGATCTCCCTTGCTTCTCAGAAGTTTATCTCAGACATTGCCAATGATGCACTGCAGTACTGTAAAATGAAGGGCACGGCCTCAGGAAGCTCAAGGAGTAAGACAAAGGTCAGTGTTTCTCTCGTTTTTAACATGTGCTTCCATATGCTTTTCTGACGGTGCGGTGTGTGAGAAAAGAGGAGTGTTATCAGAAGATGGTGACAGAGGTCAACTGTCTTTAATTGCTCAGATCATGTTGATCATTTATGGTTTTGTATTTTTTCCTTTTCTCTCTCTATATATATATAGGATAAGAAGTACACTCTGACTATGGAGGACCTGACTCCTGCCCTCACAGAATACGGCATCAATGTCAAGAAACCATATTACTTTACATAAACCTGTCTTCCTTTAAGGCTTTTTGCTAGTTTTATCTCCCTGCTGACCCACTAGAGTCCGTCGACACCCTGATTGCTATTTTTTTTTTTTTATCATGGTGCTTTAGTACAGCTTTGACACATTTTTGTAGTCACTTTGCCATTTGTTTTTATTTTTTTGTTTTGTTTTGTTTTTGTGGAGCCACCATTGCATTATGTTAAATTGTATTATTACGTTTTATTGTGAAAATAAAACCCTTATGAAAACCTTGATATATGTGAGATGTTGCATCTTTCCAACACAAGTAGATATGCTATACATTTTTTGGCATTCTGACAGCGATTGATGACTTATTCAGATTTTTTTTGTGAGAAAAAGTAGTCATACTACTGTGTAGAAATACTCTGCTACAAGTAAAAGTCCTGCATTCAAAATCTTAAGTCAGTACAAGAGTACAGTATCAAAGCATCAAAATTTATACTTAAAATAATGTGAGTAAAAGTACTCATGTAGAAAGGCCAATTTCAGAATCATATTATTGAATTAGAATTATTGTTAAATGCATATGTTCATCACTTGACTGTGGCTGCTGGTAAAGGTAGAAATCATTTAAATTGTTCTTTAAACTTCTGGGTGGCTTAACCTTCAAGAATATATCATAACCTATTTGCAAATTTGGATTATTAATAAAAAATAAAGTAACTAGCATTTCAGCTTTAAAATATATGTAGTGGAGAAAGACAGTATTAACCTCTGAAATGTAGTGGGGTAGAAATAGAAAGTAGCACAAAACAGAAGTACTCAAGTAAAGTACTAATATCTCAGATTTGTACTTAAGCACAGCACTTGAGTAAATGTACTTAGTTACATTACAGCAATGCGTTTTGCAGACAATTTAAAAATGTTACTATGCATTAAAAAGCAGCTCGGGGTAGACATAGGTCACTTATTAGAAAAGATAATTGTAAATATTGATTTAACATACAATTTTTGGTGAATACTATAAAGAAAACATAATGTAGCCAGCCTACTGTCACCTTTGTTTATTGTCCTGTTAACAGGAGTACTGCTTTTGTCTGCAAAGCTGTTGATATTCTACTGCAGTAAAAATATCACTGCCTATACACGCTAAGTGTAGAGCACGAAGTAGACACGAAGTTACCTGATTAATAGAGTAAATGTTAGTTGTTCTTTTTACATCCGAAAGGGTATAGTTAGGTTGCCATTAGACGATAAACTGGTGGATTTCTTCCAGTATTTTCTCTCGCGCTTTTTCGCGAAGGCAGTGTTTTGTCCGTAGCTGCGAGCCGTAGCTTGTCTCTCCTGACCCGCCGTAGGTGCTAGCAGCGCATATGCTAGGCATTCAAACTACTCGTGTGTTGTGAAGCAGTGCTTTAGTTTTTGTTTAAAGAGCGAAGAAAGTGTGAGAATGTTTCTTCAATCAACAAATCCCGTCAACCCCATTGTCTTCTTCGACATAACCATCGCGGGGCAGGTGAGTAGAAGAAAGATTTAGATAACGTCGACTTTCCTTTCCTGCTAGCTAACGGTAACTGTTAACGTTAACGTTAGCATGTCTCACCAAAATATCGTGTTTTGATTAATTGTTGTGATCCAGTAAACTACGTCGGTGGTATTTAAACGCCCTCAGTTTAATTGGCGTGCCCGATACACAAAATGAACCAAGTGCAGATTCTTCATTCTCTCCCGGTTTATATTGTGGTCTTGTAGTGTACTTACGGTTAAAGTGGTGGTCTGCGTGTTCTGCTCTTTCAACATTGAGCCCATATACATGCACACAATAATCAGATAACTGGGAATAATCAGGTAATGGTAATAATCCGGTCTGACGTGTTTACATGCACTTCAGTAATCTGATATTCAGAAAAACCTGGTTTACATGATTCAGTCCTTTAGTTGGATTTCTCCCCAAGTATATGACATAAAACTCAGACTTCCTGTTACAGTAGGTACTCATATCCTTGAAAACCCCTACTTAATTTAAAGTACACATGTAATATTAGCAAAATAAAGTATTAAAAGTAAAAGTACTCATCATGCTTTTCTTACAGTAGTGTTTGTTTTTATCATTAACAAATACATGTGAGAGCATTCTAATGTGTAGTTTATGAATGTGGAGCCAATTTTACATACTTTAGGTAGATTTATAGTAAAAGTATTGCAAACTGTAATATACAAGTGTATTGTGTATAAACTTTACATAGCACCTGTCACACAAAGGGGCATAATATATACGTAAGATAAAATAAAAGTGACAATTTAAACACTGAGAATATAAAATATATTATTTTATGTAAAATCTTTATCTGAAAGGAAACAAAAGCTGTCAGATTAATGTAGTGGAGTAGAAAGTACAATATTTCCCTCTAAAATGTAGTGGAGTGGGAGTATAAAATAGCAAAACCAGAAAGAAACCAGATTAAAGGGTATACATGCACCAAATAATGTGACTATTGGGGAAAAGCTAGATGTGTTTATCTGATTTATCATAATCAGATAATGGCTTTTATCTGATTAAAGCATATCGGATTGTGCTGCCGTTTACATGACCTCTTGAATAATCAGATAACTCCAGAAATCAGATATTGATTGGTTTATTGGTGTGCATGTAAACGTGCTCATTGTTTTTGACATACCGGTTTATTATAAATAAGATACTTAATTCGTGTTATGGTCTTTAAGGCGTGAGTTATTTTATAAACCATATCAAGGGCTAAACAGAGTTAACTTTCTTTCAAAGATACTATGCTTAGGTATAATTGACTTATATCACGATGTTGTTCATTGCGTAGTTAAAAAAGCTTCATTCACCCTCTGGGTCAATCTGTCCCCACACTGACATTTAGCTGATTACATTTTTACAATCTTACCTCTCTTTCTGTTTATCGTAAACTCTTTTCTAAGTTGTTATCAAAAGTAAAATATCCTTCGCTTGGCCTCCTCACTAGAAACCCATTTCTGGTATTTCAAGAAACTGCAAAATTAAATTCATCTAAAATCTTTGAGGCCATATCAGCCATCAGCAAGTTCATCAAATAATAGCTACATTAAACCTGAACTGTCAGCCTTTTTGCCTGGTTAACAAAAATTCCCTTTTAATAGAACAGCTGTTTCAGTCTGTCAAGTTTAGAAAAAATACATCACTTTACCGTAATACCGTAAAAACAGGAAATGCAACATTGACAATACTACAATATTCAAAAATCTAAGACGATATCTTGTCTCATATCACAATATCGATACAATATCAGTACAATACCAGCCCGGAGATGACGTGATTGATTGAATGTAGTTGTTACTTTAACTTTAGGATGATTGAAGTTGCATTCTCCGCGTTACATATTCTGTCCATGGTCACGTCCAGTTGTGTTCCTCTGTAATCAGCCTCGACATGAAATCCTTTTGTCTCAATTTACAATTAATGCAGTTACTAGTTGCCATTTGCCGAAATTATTGGTGTATTGCATGTTGAAGTGCATGTAGCAAACTTAATATAGTAGCCCATCCACAATACCATTTTTCGTCCCACCATTGGTTTAATTGAGTGGAATGCAGAGGGAAACATAACATACGTAACACAGCATAAGCAGACTGTCATCAGTCTGGGATTTTTCTATTGGATTTTGGATAATTGCAGGAATAAGCTCTGTCGATAAGGTAATTTTTCACAAATTAACACCACTTTTATGATTTTTGAAGCCCAAATGCAGTTGCCAGAAGTACAAAGCTGCCTTTAGGTGGCATGGTTTAACATTCCTATCACAATGAGGCTGTAAAGCCAGGGTTGGCGTGATGACATTCTGTAGTCTCATTTAGCCACTTGTTAGCAACCGCCTTTTTTAAGACACATAGAAACTTTAAAATTCACGAGTGGGGTATTAACTGACATATTTTTATTTAAGTGTCTTAAGCTTGTGTTATCCACAGACCTTATTTCAGCCAACCAACCTAAAACCCATTCAAAAAACCCATTGACTTTGAGACAAGAGAACAGGGACTAGAAAATGTTAACTTATTTCCAGGTTTTAGGACTCATTACTGGGGCACTCTATAACCTACAGTGATCAAGACAGCTCTGTACTGTCAATAACGCTTCAATTTTAGTGGTATAAGAAATGTAAGATTTCACTTTGCTAGGCGTAATAGTTTTAAAATTATTTGTAAAGTACTGGTAAAGCTGAGATTGGTACAAGTTACCATGGTTACGCAATGACACAAGTCATTTGGCTGATAATCGATACAGAGATAGACATATCTACTTTTTTTCCCCCACCTAATTTTAGTGATCATCAAGTCTCTTCTGTAGTGGAATTTACATCATATTACGCATGCGTACTCTCATCATGATGGCCCACCAGCAGATGGAGACACAAAATACCATGTATATAATATTAATTCATTGTGCAAAATAAGAAAAAGCATGTTGGCTGATTCTGATAGTTTATTTTAAAGCCACTCTCAGCTGATACCGATGACTTGCTGATATTATCACTCATCCCTAGTGACAACACTAATGCATACTGTATATGTACATGAAAGTATATTAAACGATAGTATGCATATTGCACATTTGATGATTTCTTCATTAGCAGGGGTTTGCCCAGTTGTCATGGAAGTGTACATCACTAAACCCTGAGCACTTTTAGGTTCAGTCATCCACGTTGGACTAAAAGTGGAGGTTCAAAGTTCCTTCTTGACCTTGGAAACAATGTTTGGGAAAACTATCTCATTAGAAGGTCCATTAGCTTTCGATCATATCACATGATCATCAAGGTCAGGAATAAACTTTGAGCCTCTTCAAATAAATCTATTCACATTTAATGTATGTGTAATTCATGTTTTCAAACAAAAGGTAGAAAAATACATGGTTCAGTCAAAGAAAAATTAAGGACTTTTTAAAAATATATTTATTAAGCAGCATTTACACCTGTTTGGGACAGAAAATCCAAAAAGAATAGCTATTAATCATAAGTCAATATAGTTTTTCCCTCAAGACCAAAATTATCTTTGAAAAGCCTGTACAACAAATATACAAATGATTGTACAAAAAGAATATTTGTGGTGTGATTTCTGCAGATATTTACATAGTTTTAGCATAATGATCATAGCTTTCAGCAATACTCCAAAGTACATTTGGAAGTCCAGCAGGGTATCCGCGGGGTCTTAAAAAGTCTAAAAAAGTCTTAAATCCAATCATTTGAATTTAAGGCCTTAAAATGTCTAAAATTCTCATAAAATCTCATAAAAGGTCTTAAATACGATTTTGAAAGGTCTTAAAAATCTATTGACGTTACTTTTATTTAAAACATGCATAAACTTCAGTCTCGCTTTTAAATGTTTCGATTTTTGAGGACGCTATAACGTAACTACAAAGTGGAACTGAAGTAGGCTACCTGTGCTGCCCGGTCAGAATTTATCGAATTTATCGATGTGAAATGGGTCTTAAATTGTATTCATTATGGTCTTAAAAAAGTCTTAAAAAGTCTTAAATTTGACTTGTTGAAACCTGCAGAGACCCTGTCCAGTCACAGTGTCTGGTTAACTGCAGCATGTACAGTTTAATTCTTTCCCAAAAGCCTTTCTGTTTGAGCTGATGAAGAGCTGGGACATTCATGTCTGTGTCCAGGCTTCAGTTTAAGCATCTAACACACAGGTGAACCACTTACAGATGCTAGGTCAAGTCTTTCTTTACCTTCTCCTATCATGCTTTTCAATTGATGTTGGCTGTTGGCTCTTAGGTGTAACAGGTTTATTGTTGACCTCTTCTTCTGTCACACATAGAGGAGAGTGTTTCTCTTTGCTTTTGATGGGTTAAACACAGCTACAGGCAGTTGCTGCTGTTGTGTTCCTCTGCTCAAATGCCAGTAAACATGCCACAAGCACACGTTTTCTGGGAGCTGGCTGTATGGTCCTTGCGACTTGCTATTTACCCAAAACACCACACCCATCAGGAAACTGTTGGCGCACTCCAACCACAGAAGGTTAACAGTGATGTAGGCAGGTACTCCATAGCCTAAGATCAAACAGCCCACAGATACGGTGAGATAAGGCATCCAAAATATACTGAAGCCCAGTGTTAGGCTGAACCACAGAGGCGGGTATGGCTGGACTGTCTCCTCCAGATTGTTCTCCATGCCACTTTTTGTCTCAGTGCAGTTGGTTGAAGTGAACAACAAATCGCTGCTCTGGTTCTCTTGTTCTTCCCTTGCTTCAGATAATCTGTCAGCCTCTTTCAACCACTGGGGAATCATTGACCAATAAGGCAGCATGGTACAAATAACTACTGCGAACAGCCCCAAAATGAAGTAGGTAATCAGTGCAGACTCCTCTACATCACACACAAGGGCCCTTACACCTGTCACATAATCCAGCTCCATCAGATCGGAAGTGGCAGAAACAAAGGAGTAAAAAACAGCTAGCATCCACACCAGCAAAGTCAGGACAGCATTCCTTATGTATTTACAGGGCATGCTCTGTTTGCAGAGGTTGCTGTCTTCTAAGCAGTAGTCTAGAAAACCCAGGCATGTCATGGGCAGCGGCAGTGCTTCATATGTTTTCGAGGCCTTAGCCAAGATGAAGCACAGTGACACAAGATACCTCTCCGGCCCAAGAAACCACACACCTGCCAATAATAACACCATCACCAAGTCAGCCAAGACGATGGACAGGCTGCACATGCTTAAAAAGGAGGTAAACCGCTTCCGGCAGCACAAGTGAAGGGCCACTGCATCCAGTCCTAACTTGAAAAGCATAAGTAACAGGTACTTGTCAGTGTTTTCTGTATGATTGCCAGACGCTGCATCCCATTGCTCTATGATGCCCAGCATTTTGACGGTATGGCTACTTTCTGGAGATGCCGCCAACTCAGGCAGCATTTACGATACTGCAACAGCGCTCCGTTCAAGATGCTCCAGGAAATGCTGTGAATGACAGGATAGTATTGATTAGGAACTTAAGCTGTACAAATAATAGACTGCAAGGAATAATTAGAAAAATGATGGATGCATGAATCCACAAGCTTTGGCTGGTCTCACAGGGAGTGAGAAAAATGTAATATATTACATATCACTAATAATCTTCATTTGAAAGTAATAAGTCACTTTAGAATATTACTCTCTGAAATAAGTTATTTATTACACTAATTTTGTATTATTTCCCCCAAAATCAATCAATCAATCAATCAATCAATTAATCAATTAATTTTATTTATAAAGCCCAATATCACAAATCACAATTTGCCTCACAGGGCTTTACAGCATATGACATCCCTCTGTCCTTATGACCCTCGCAGCGGATAAGGAAAAACTCCCCAAAAAAAACCCTTTAACGGGGAAAAAAACGGTAGAAACCTCAGGAAGAGCAACTGAGGAGGGATCCCTCTTCCAGGACGGACAGATGTGCAATAGATGTCGTACAGAACAGATCAGCATAATAAATTAACAGTAATCCGCATGACACAATGAGACAGAAAGAGAGAGAGAGAGAGAGAGATGCAGGTAATGACAGTAGCTTACAACAACATTATTGAAAGTAATAATAGAATAAAATCATCTCAGAAGAACAAACAGGCATGTTAAATGGATTAGGGTCATGTTGTTTCACAGCGGGTAATCAAAACACAGAAGTCCCAGTTTATTACAGTTCATTTTAAATCCAGTGCTACAGTGGTTACCACTTTGTATTCAAAGGCCCTGCTTATATTAATAATAGTGTGAAGATATACGACCATTAAAGAGCCCAGACCGTTTAAAATAAGTGAACAGCCCTGGACACAGGGAGGGTCATGCAGGCAGACAGTCAAAGTCTAATAATTATGAGGTATGGATCAGTATTTGTAGGCTTATGAAACACTGAAAAAATAATTATGTAAGCACAGCAAACTGAATGGTGTGCGATTTAGTCACCATGACGAGCCCCAATTAATACACTGGAGCTGAAAGACACACCTGTCAGTTCCCACAAGTTGCAATGGTCAGCTACAGCAGCACCAGAGAGAGTTATGCATAAGGACAGGATGGTGTTGCTCTGCAGTTGTACAGGGTGTTAATGAAAACCCATCCAACTTATACTAACATCACCCAGAAGTGCCGATCACAGGGATGAGGAAAAAACAAACCGCAGGCCAGTTTCTTATTCCCGCTGCTTTCAAGCAGCCGTAGGATGTAAAAGCAGAATAGGATGTGTTGTAGATGTTGCAGGTATATTAATTGAAACATGATAACGCACAGTCCCTGATGTGCTGATCTCTGGCACCCTTCTGTGCCTATAATGTAGCGTATAATGACACAACAACCGTCAAGGGATATTTTTGCTGTTGGCACACTGGCTGGAGCGTAGTGGTTTGGATCAGTGTGGATGAATGAAAAATGAAAACACGTAATGTAATATTGTAAATGTAATAATATCAGTTGGTAATGTGTTATCCCAAACACTGCCAGCGTGTAGGATTTAGTCTAGCGGTGAGGTTGCAGAACTGAAACTTCACCCATATGCGAAGTATGTAGGAGAACTACTGGAGGTGTTCTGATACTGATACCAGTATTGGAAATACCTCCTATACTGCCCAAAATGCTCGGATATCAGCGAATGCACAAGTCTATGCACCAATTCAATACCACGTAATTTAGAGATGAAGTTTAAAGTAGTTTCACACCAGGATAAGACCGCTAGTTGTGCTGTGCAGCCACTGGCAACTACTGTCAGAGAAATTGTAATGTTAGCCATTAGCAAAATGTCAAACTAGATGATATAAGAAAAGTTCTATTATGTTCACTCTCTGTATGTTTTGTTCGGATGTTGTTGTTGTTTTAACTCAGTGGTACACAATAGAACATCTCTAAGAACTACAGTGGCTGACTTGAAAACGCAAATGGCCCTATCTAGAGCCAGTTAGGCCTGGGCGGTATGACAAAATTTTCATATCACGGTTTTAAGAAAAAAATCATATCGGTTTCACGGTATTTTGCTCAGGTTCGGCCAACTTGACATGCTGCGTTGTTGTGCTATAGCCTATTCAAGTGCCGGAATTTGTTATTTGCCTGACAATGCCTGAACACAACACACGCTCCGCTCCATTCATCTGGGCTCCACTGACTGCGTACGGAAGCGACACGTAGAGAAGCCAGCGGGGTTGTTTACCGTTTGCCGAGCCGAGAGGCTGCATGAAATGTTAAAGCATTTTCCACCTAAGTTATTACATATATTTGAGTTATCTACAAGTTTACTGTACTGTTTGTCATCTACTTGCTTTCAAATGTCCGCCACAGACATTTACACAATGTCACGGATAAACATGGGTAAATGCATGAAAAAAAAAAAATCATCACATATCACCTCTGATAATGGTTTATTCATTTAAAAACACATTGTGCTCGTTTAGCACACTATTTCATGTAGTTTTTATCTGCTGGAGGGTCGCGTAGGGGAGCGTAGCGCGACAAAAATAGAAGAGCCGCGTAAAATAGAGTTGTAGTGCGACAGACGGAGGTTGTCGCGCCGCTCCCGTTGCCAGTGGAGCCGCTGATTGATTAACAGGGGGGCGAGCTGCTACGGGACTCGCGCTGCAGACGTGTCGCGCCGCTGACGGGCCCGGTGGAGCCCGGCCGTAACTGTCTCGGACTCGGGACGGGTCGTCTTCGGTCAGAAAAATGCGGTCCGAGCCGTGCTCTAGTGTGCTCACCTGTGTGTGTGCGTTTTGTCTGTGTGTGTGTGTGTGTGGGGGGGGGGGGGGGGGGGTGCGCATCGGGGCGAAACTCCGCCGTGCACGATACAGAGGACAGAGGAGAATTGTAAACGGCGGTGCGCCGCTGCTAGTTGCATATAGGGGAAACACTGCTCTTTTTGGTATGAGTTCTTCTGGGTCATCGTGTACAGTTGCTTCGCTTTTAGGACTCTCTCCGGCAGCCATTCTCACCTCTAAACTTTTTTTATGCTCTCACTCTCACCCGCTCAAGCGTGCCTGTGGTGTGCAGCGGTGAAATGGGTCCCCGCTGAAACACTTTCCCGCCGCGCACGTTCCGGACGTTGTTTGGGCTATTCACCGGTATTGCGGTATATGAAAAATTCATATCATAACGAAAATAAATACCGGTCTTCGGTACAAACCGGTATACCGCCCAACCCGAGAGCCAGTGTTTCATTTGTCTATTCTGGACTACTGTAGAAACAACATGGTGGACACAACAATTCTTATTTTCAGATAAACTAAATGAAAACAGAGTTATGAATGCTATTTACCATTTCTGCAAATAGATGCCTCTAAATCCGACACAGTGGACCTTTAAGGTTGTAAAAAAAATCTGTATTTTTTTGGTGGATCTAAAAAGATGTATTTACATTTTGAAAGATAACCAACTATAACTTTTTGCCTCACAGACAAAATTTAGCTAATGTGTTGAATTTATAAAACTTGTTGTACCAGTTAAACAATGTGAGATTACGTGAAGTTGGTTAGTGTGCTACATGTACATTATCATCACATGTGTAGTATTTATTACCAATTAGTCTGGTTTGTTATTACACCCCACATGTAAACAAAGGGTGACCAGTGTAGAGCAAATATCACAAATGTCCATCCATATTTGTTTGTCATATTCCCGCCTTATAAAATACAGTAAAGCACTGATAATTCCACTGAACAGTACACTGACAATTACTCATTTGTAAAAGTTATTTCTTGGAAAGTTATTTTCTTCTTTCCCCTGCAAAAGAAATTCATTGCAGTTTTGAGACACACTTCGGTTCTGAAGTGTGTGTCTTTAAACAGAAACGTGTCATTATCTCACCTATTAGGGCTGACGATATGAAGAAAATTTGCAGTACAGGATGTTATTGTTGTTAAATATCACCATAATGATATTACTTGCGATAAAATAAACAGATATTTAAGTATAATCAGTTTTGCCTTCCTGCTGCTCTCAATTTAATGCTATAGTCTCTTTCATAATCTTGTGTGACATGTTTATCACACAAGTTGACATTGCAATAACGATGCCGCTTTATTTTTTGCAGCCCTATCACTTATAAAATCTGGCTTCCTTTTTTTTTATGTTGCATGTTGTCATTTCCATGTCAACATCTTGTAGCAATGGTAATTATTCCAGCAGCATTAACACCATCCTGAATTTACAGCATTTTATATTGTCACACTGATGACAGGAGAAGCTAGTTCGAAGCATGTAGCATTTACTCAACAAGTTAAAAGAAATAAGTGTGACCCTAAACCGTACCTCTGTACTCAGGGTGTCCTAGTCCAATGAGTTTCAGTAGAGATCCAGTCAGAGGCCCTGCACACTTTCATCAAGACTTGTCAGTGGACTGTTGTCAGGTGGAGCAGCTCGCTTTGAGGCAGCTCTTGATGGCTCCACCTGCCCATTGTGAATGCAAACAACCAATGGGACACACCTTCTCTCTGTCTTTAAGGAACCCTGCTTGTTGACCCTCCTACATGCCCCAGAGGTGGCTGCCTCTTGTGATGTTGATTTACATCTCCTGTAACAGATAACCCAGATTGGAAACACAGGTTCTTCAAACAATACTCGTAGCTGAAACCACACCCCATGACTGGTTTTGTTCACCCTCACCAGATCCCTATAGCTTTACACTAGAATTAGAAAGAAACTGCATCACATGTTGAAGGCCTATGGTTTAACAAAACCAGCTGCCATACCATGCTTTTAATGAAGTCTTCAGTGTGTTGAAAAGTTGGCTCAGTCAGGGTTTTGACCAGCTATACTTGCATATCCATATATGCATGCAGAATTACTTACATTCAGTAGCTAAGGGGTACAAGTTGGAAAAGCAGTGTTATGATTCCTTAATAAGTAAAAGCATGTAACTTTTATATTTCCTTCTAATCCAGTCATTTATTTTGATAATACAAAATAGACTTAGAAAAAATCTTAATCAAATATAAAGGATGATGAATACTTAATACTTGTCACGAGAGCTTGGCTTGATTTGTTTTCTATGTGCGACTTTTTGCTCTCAGTGTGAATGTGTACATCCTTATACTTCTAGGTACAAGGAATCTGCAGGGGAGTTAAAGTCCATGTGGTAGAGTCGGCTGTTACAGTGTTCCTGTAGTTTCTTCTCTTGAACATGACTGTTAAATGAAACCTTTCGTCGTGCATCTAAATCAGTTCAGCGTAGGGGTGGACGATATATTGATTATATTTGATGTAATGTGGCTTGTTCCACGTGGGATGTATAAAATGACTATCTCGCAAACAGTAATTAGAATTTATGTCCTTTTTTTGTTTTGTTTTTAAAGCCACAGGCACCAACATGAGTGGTCACACACACTCTCCCGCCCATCCAGACCAGTCTTTACTGGGTGTTGGTGTGTAAGCAGGTGTGGCATGTGTTTTTGTATCGGCAAGGCTCCAGACAGCGACCATGAAGCAGCAGTGCAACTTAAGTAATACGTGAACTGGAGAGCTGGTAGTTTGTTTCCCACTCAGAGTGGAGAAATTCATATTTAATGGTGCAACTGGAACCGTTTCACTCTACGTTAACTATTAACATATAACTGTTGTTCCACTTTGATATAGTTAATTATAACAATACTTAATTTAACGTTATTATAACAATCATTTTACTTGTTCATAACAGTACTTTGACTTCATTATAAAAGTACTTGGTTTAACTTCATTGTAACAGTAGTTTATTTAGTAGTTTAGCATGTAGCAGTCTACAGTAGTTAAGAGCAGATTCAAAATATCGAGATACATTTCGTGATATAACCTCAAAATATCCTCAATAACCTCAAGTTCAGTGCACTTGTCTCATCTTCCTTCCAGTATTTGTTTCTTTTGACATGAAATGTGACTCCCTCATTCCAGCATTACAACAAAAGTAGTTCACCACTATACGTTAATCCAAATATAGACATTAGACCCTTAAATCTGTGTATTATCTGATAAGAAACAACATTTTTAAATGTTACACACTGTGTTACCTGTTGTTTGGCACGCCACCCTCCAGCCAGAGAAATCCCTCAGCAGATAAAATGTTCTGTGGCTGATGTTTGCTCTGTACCAGCGCTCAGCTTCTGTATTTAATTTCATTGCCTGGAAACTAAAAACACACTGTATTGACTATATGGCAAAGACATCAGAGCCAGTGGGTGCTTGTGCTTGTTTTACTGTGAGTTGTGTGCGTGGACCGTAGGGAGGGCTGTGCAATGATGTCATGTGGACAAACCTCTCTTTTTACTACAGCACAATGTTTGTTTTCACGCACAGATACAGACACCCGGACATTGTTGTCACAGTCGGCACTTGCATGTCCGTGTGGGTTGTGGGAGGCCAGGGTGGACAAACACCCATGCTGCCAAACGCACACATGCACACACACAGCTCATAGAGGATTTAATGTGTCGCATCAAGATTGTGGCGTTGTCTCATTTACATCATTCTATTATGTATGCTTTGACCACTGGGAATCAGAACTGAGACAATATAGCTTGTATTGCTGAGATGAAACAGAGTCCACTTGATGTTACCAGCAAAGTCCAGAGAGAACTTGAAGATGTACAAGGATTAATAAAACGTGTGTATGTGCGTGTGTGTATTCAAGGCCAGAAGTCGGGGGAATAGAAGACTAGAAGAAATCCTATACCAGTTATTCAGTAGAAGTGATATATTTTTGAGCTCAGTGTTGTCTGAGTATAACTGGTTAGTCCAGATGAGGCCATCGGTGTCATGTAGAGGAGCCTCTGGCAACAGGAATGACCAGTTTCTGTTCAGTCTTTGTAGTTTTGACCTGGGGCAACTATGTGTCCATCTTTTTAGGTCGTCATTGTTTTGTATGTTCACACAATGTTTTGTCATCTGTTTTCCAGGATGTCGGACGCATGAAGATGGAGCTGTTTGCTGATGTGGTTCCAAAGACGGCTGAGAATTTCCGGTAAGGGGGAAAATCTGATTATTGGATCACATGGTCTGTTTTTAAAAAATTGAGAGAAAAGAGATTACCACAGGTGATATATTAACACAAATTTGACATTTGAGTTTTTGAAAATGTTTCTTACACTTTTCTCATCTCTTACAGGCAGTTCTGCACTGGAGAGTTCAGGTACGGCAGTGAAGGGCTGTATTCTTCGATGGTACTCAAACACTACATCACCATCCTGCACACATCGTCTTAACTAGCACTTAAAGTGACTGGGGGCGGCTGTTTTGACGTGCGTCGTACGCCGCCGGTGTGTTTTGGCCTTTAGAGTGCTTTCTTTTGACACTGACATAAGCGTCTGACACCATCATGAAAAGACCTTACAAAGAGATCTAATGTTTTGTCTTTACCTTTTGCTTGATCCAGTCTGTCTGTTATTGCGTCTAACCCAGTCTCGCTCAAGAGGAAGTCTCATTCTGAAGTCTTGTGAGTTAAGTTGTTGGATCAATGCGATAACAAACAGACGGGATCAAGCAAAAGGTAATGAAAAATGTTTTATATTTCCTTTTAATAATATTATAATTTCAGCCCATTTCCCAGTTTGAAAACTAAAGAAGTTTCCCCTTAAGAAATCTGATTGGTCCCAGCATTTGGTAGCAACCAGATTCTTCAACCATGAAAATGAGAAACTGGTTTTCCTTTGCCAGATTAAAGGATGGGGAGAAACCTGATTGACATAAAAGGTTTCTGCTGGAGACGCCTACTTATTTCACCACACAAGTGCTTAAACAGGTCTCTGAAGGGTATTTACATGTGTGTGTGTGTGTGTGTGTGTATGACAAAGAGCCAGGACAGGCACAGTATGGCTGTGGCAGGAGTGCAGCAGGACAAAAGGAAAATTCGTTACTTGGAGCTGTGCCTCCTTATATCGAAGCTAAGTCAAGTTTGTTTTTCACAGCTGAACAGTAGGATTATTTTAAAATTCAAACTCATATTATGCAGTAAAGAAATGATGTGCTTCAGTTGGTTGTCACACCTTCCAGATGCTCTGCAGATTCTTTGAAACCAATGTGTCATATAGTGCAGTATACACTGAGCCATAACCTGCTGTAAGAAGCACACGTCCTTTACAAAGAAAACAAAGAACAATACTGTAATGAGCAGTCTTTCTCTATTATTCCAAATCTAAAAGGGATTACTTGGAGGAAGCCAAAGGAAGCTTTTAACCAACACTGCATGGTAGGATCTGCACTGGTACTGGCAGCTATTTTGAGTCACTGAGGCTGATATAATGCTCTGTGTGGTCGTCAAACATGGAAGGAATATGGGACCATTCAACAGGACCAGGAGGTCTTTATGCAACCAATAGTATTCCTTCATTGCACAGCCATATACAAAGTTGATAGTCTCTCCATACACATTAATATTCAAACCAAAGGCCATTGTAATATACTCCTCAGTCAGGGACAATAGAACAGGATCATTTTAATGACGGTCTAAGAGCTGCCTGCGGCGTGGTATGTACCCATACCTGCTGAACTGTTAATGATGACCTATATACTGTTGGAATTTACATGACATACCTGGACAAACCAGCTTTGCGAGAAGTTAGTGCTTGTAGTACAGTACAGCTTGATTGTGACTGTCTCCACCACCAACTTCATTTTGTTGTCTACCGTCTGTCCTACAGGAAGGATGGAGTCCCGATTGGTTTCAAAGGTTGCACATTCCACAGGTAAACAACTTGCTGGCTTGGTTTGTATAGCTCACATTATATTCCCATGTCATAAAGATTTTTAATCATGATTTGTATATTCAAGTAGAAACCCACACCGACTGATGGCCTTGAGTTATTTAACCTGGTTGTCTCCTTGGTATCCACTGTTAGCCCTGTTTTTCTTAATATTCATAGTTCTGGAGGCTGAGCTACTCATGAACAAGTATGATGGACACAGAATGAAGTACTGGACCTTGGATGAGCCAACGATCAGCTATTTGTGCTAACCATTGAAATCCAGGATTGGCCCTTGATGATGGCTTATAGAATACACAACATAAAAAATGGACCAAACAGCAACTTGTGTTTTATGGGAACTACGGTGTCTATGAGCCTATTTACACCTTGTATTATTATAGGTCTTGGGTTATCCAATCACATGTGGGCAGCTCAAAGTCTTGTTCACGCCACAGACTGTATAATAAAGATGGACGTAAGAACAGCTCCCCAAAAATGAAGCCAAACCATCTCCATTGCCCCCTGATGGCTGGCTGCAGTATAGGCCCCCTCTGTGTTAGCGGATGGGACATAGGCCAAACTAAAAAATCAAAGTACACGTCAAATAAAGTTTTCCCAAACATGGTTTCTATCATTTTAGGTTCTTATTATGCTGATGTATGCTCAGTGTTAATTTTTTTTTGATGAGTTTGGTTTTAATTAGTTATTCGATGCTATAAAGGAAGGGGGTTTGATATCATGATTGACAGTTGTGCGCACCAATTGGTGTGCTGCGAAGAGTGGCGCTGCTCGTGATTGGTCGGACAGGTGTGTATGAGATGGAATTTGATAGCGCAGAGAACACTTATGTGCAGACTGGCTCCAAATGATGTCACCAATGTAAGATAGCATCAGACATATCTTTGATATTTTGGCTTCATGTTTGTACGGTGGGAGTAAGTGGAGACGAGTTGTTTTATCTACAGTCTCTGGTTTACGCCTGACATTAGAATGCGTCACATTCATCTCGAGTGACCACTTGTGATCTGATTTCACTTTCCCGCTTAATATGCAAATAAACACATACACAATTTCTATGCACAAAAATGTGAGGTTTTCCATGCTATACCTTCGCTGATGAGAGTCCACCCATGCACACACAATGACAGGGCTAACAGTTAGCATCACACGGCTGTTACATAATGAAAGAGTCGTGCAGTTTCAGCATCAGTCAGTTTGTTGGGACTGTTTAACAGCTGGTGCTATGTTAGCTTATGCTAACTGGGCAGATGTCAAACAACCTGTTCACTGGAGGGACGGCGACTTAGGGGACGGTCCTTCAGCGCTTTGTCTATTGGTGGGAAGTCAATAAGTGAGGACCTAAGTGTGGGGTCCTTCAGTGTGGCCCAGGACACATGAGCGTACACACTACTGAAAAAATGTGGCCATATACCACCTCTGAATGTGGTCTGAGCGATTGGATCTCAAGATGCATTGAGGACTCATTTCATGCAGTCACACTTGTACTTTAAGCTGTCCACTTGTGATAAACAGGGCCTGTAAAAACTGTTCACCTCGTTTTGTGTGTTGTTGTAGAACAGCATGTTATCAAGTAGCTTTAAAGTATATTTTTTAACACTTTTTTATAGGCTCCATATCAGCATGTCTTACCCAGTCAGACTGTCTGCCTATATCTGCTTTTTGTTTACCTTAGCAAATCTGACTGTGCTTATGTGTTTTCATTGTTGATTGGCAGGGTGATCAAAGACTTTATGATACAAGGAGGAGACTTTGTAAATGTAAGTACATGTACAACATGTGTTTTGCGTCTGTCGTTTGCATTTAGGGCTTGGATTAAGGCTATGGTAAACTGACGGTCATTAATCTTGCACCGTATTAACAAATGTTCTTGTAGGTATGCACAATGTATTGAGTATTGCCTTTTTGGAGACCCTGTATCTGAGCAGAACAAACAATACATTTTTGGTTGATGTGAGTGGATAAAAAGAGATAAATGCAAATTCATGTGGAGAAATTTGAAAAACCAACAATTATCTCTGACAAGATTATTGCTCAGAGAGGAAGAATGTTGGATAGAGCTGTGTGTTGGAGGTAATGGAAGATGTTCCCCATGAACAATATAAAGAAGGTGATATTTTAAAAGCTGGCCAACTGCAGTTGTAGGCCCTTTCCCTTTTAATTGCACTTCTTGTCTTCATTAAATTAATAAATCTTGACATGTTTTGCAGCTTAGTTTTGAACTGAGCAGGACAGTGCTTCAGTGTTGTGCTCCCTGGTGGGCCTGCAGTGAATTACAGCACATGTTATATGGCTTTCTCATTGGACTTTGTTAGCCCTGTCTTATGCACTGGTTTTTGTCTTTTTGTGAAGGGTGATGGGACTGGTATTTGTAGCATCTACAGAGGTCCATTTGCAGATGAGAACTTCAAAGTAAAGCACAGTGTGGCTGGTCTTCTGTCCATGGTATGTATGCAGATCAGTGCTCAGATGTCAGGGATGCCTTCTAATCAGCACAGATTCTCTTTACATTGATGTTATCTTAATCAAGATTTCCTGCAATCAGTTTTATATATCCTCTATTATACATTATAAAATATTACGTTAATTAAGATTTGATTAATCCTCTTAAAAATTGATTGGCCCCAACCTCTAACAGACAAGAGGATTTGATTGATCCATTCAAAGTGAATTAACCCTGACCAATATAGACAAACAGATTTTTAACACGGCCATTCTTTCTCAATAATGTGTGTCTTACTCAGGCAAACAGTGGCCCAGGGACAAATGGCTGTCAGTTTTTCATTACCTGCACTAAATGTGACTGGTTAGATGGGAAGCATGTTGTTTTTGGTGAGTAAGTCTACAATATTAATTGTGCATTTATGTTTATGTAGAGCGATAGTTTGATCTGTTTATGTGCCTGAGTTAAACTGTCTTGTTTACAACTGTTACAGGGAAAGTGGTCGATGGTTTGCTGGTCATGAGAAAAATTGAGGTAAAAATACATTGCAAAATTAATTTATTGGGTTCAGACCACTTGTAATGATGAAAATAAGAAAATGTATTCAGGCTTAACGGAATACCTTACCCACAAAATGACCATTTATATATCAGCTATTCATCGTGTGTTACCTTGAACTTGCTAAGAAAACTTTGTTTTTCTGTCATGCCTCTGGTTAACGAATAATCCAAAAACAGCAAACATTGATAAATTAAAGTTAAAGGGGACTGGGTTTAACAACAGCAAAACTATATCAAATATCTGTCTACAAACTCTCAAACACCTCACGCAGTATAATCCAAGACTCATTTATCCAGTTTTATGCTCAGTACTTCCCAAACACATTGCATTACTTTGCTGTTAGCACTTTCTGAAAGGGACTGAAAGTGAAAGCATAGGTCTATTTTATTTTCAGCCTGCGTCAGAAGGGTTGAGGCAAGCCCTTTTTACACAGAGATCCTATGATAGTGCTGCAGTAAAGTTCCTTTCAATAAGCTGCGTTTACTTTTTCATACTGAACCAAACAACACAGGCATAATGCAGCGTCAGTGTGTGATGTTAGGTAGCATGCCAGCATTCCAGAAGCAAAAGAGGCATGATGGGCGTGACGTGTAACACAACAACATCTTCCTGTAGTGTGACTTTTAGCATACGGGTCGGGTGGAATAATATGGCAATAACAAGAGTTTACGGTCCCTGTGATATGGCCGTTGATCTCATCCTCTGTGTGGAGGGTTAAGGAGCTCCCAGACCTCATTGTCTCCCCAATTTGCAGACATGTTTGGTTACTGTTCTTTTTCTTCTTCGAGTTAGCTGCTAACTGCTATCAGCTGCTTTTAAAAGCTCACTGCAGTGGGTGGCACACATAACATGTCATCGAATGTCCCTTTCATCCCGTCCTGCCAGCTGTCCATTTCACGTAGATGCCAGTTTGACACCACTACTACCCACTCTGTCAGCTTAAAGGCAAGACAGCTGCACTGTAGTAAAAAAAAAACAGGGCTGTAGTGTTGGATAAGGATAATTTTGTCTGAGTATAATGTCTACATGACAATTTGTGCTCCTTCCTGCCAACAGAATGTTCCTACGGGACCCAACAACAAGCCCAAACTCACCATTGTCATTGCACAGTGTGGAGAGATGTGATCCAGAACCGCACCACCTCAGTGTCCAGGAAGTAGTGTCTCACTCTAACTTGATACACCTCAACAAACATCAACCCATATAGTTTTTCCTGTATGGATGACTTTATAAAGTAATGGCAGTATAAAGATCGGCAGTACATCATTTCTGCAATTTTCTGAGTTTGGTATAACTTACACCACGTTAACTGCTGCATCCAAACCCAGATAAGATTATTCTTATCTCAGGTGGGTTTTGGAACTGACAAAATGTGCTAACTATATGGATTTAAAATTCAATTTCCAAAACTTCATGTTCAACACTCTTGTTGTTTATCTGATTCCAAATGAAGACAAATTTGTGTATGCTGTTGTAAAAAGACAAACAAGAAAGTCTAAGTCCGAAGACAATTATTCTTGGCATGTGAAGCATTTTTATTCAGTCACTCTGTGTATAATTTGTGATCAATAAATTGTTTTGCATTTTTATAAACCCCTGGATGAGATCTTGTTTCTTTGAAAAAGGAAAAAAAAATCTGTGATGGGCATCATGTGTGTGTTTTTTCGTGGTTGAGCTGTTTTTATTTTCAGATTCAAATGTTTAACGTTCTCTCAACCTCAGGCAGTAAAAGTCTATATACTATTTAAAGTATGCCTGTGTAACAAAGAATTATTTTTTTTGCCATCAGACAGTTTCACAAAATAAAAGTATTTATTAAAATGTTAACAGAAGCCATGGAGTGTAAGACCAGCCACAAATAACACAAATCAAAAACTTACTAATGATCCATCAGGCCCTTTTTCATATTTATATTTTAATCCACCATTTTATCAAATTAATATCTAATGAAGAAACTGGTCATGTATGTTTTGCAACTGCTTCAAATTTAATTCTGTGAGGCCTGTGTATCCAGTGTAATATGCAGTGTTTTTGGTAGCGCATTTCCCCCTCCTCATATGCTTCTGACCTTGAAAAAGTCGGTATATAGCTTGAATATATTTTATCGGTAAGGGATTGTGTGTATTTAGAAGCTGAAGTGATAGCGCATGCTAATCAATTTCAACCTCATCACCACGGAGCAAAAGAGGGAAACACTTTACAGTGAAAAGCATGAGAGTCCTCCAAAGCACACACTCCAGTGCCAAGCAATCCTCTGCTGAACTTATGGCTACCTCTTCCTATCCCAGCCATCCATACAAATCCAAGCCACCAGACCCCCTCCCCCATCCACACTCTCCCTCTTCTGCCTTGGACCTTGTTCCCTCAGCACAAAAGAATCCTTTCAGATGGAGACTCTGTTCTTATGGAAGCAGGAAGAAGCTTTTTTCTTTTTCTTTTTTTTTTTTGGGAGGAGGGGGGAGCCTCTTCGTGGGGAGGCTTTCTGGGGTCAATGCTAAAGCCTATCTTTGTGTGGGAGAACGGGGCTCGGCCATTAACAGCAAGCTCTTCACACATCAGCCAGTGCTCATAAACAGTGCCAGTGGAGCATTAACATGACAATGGAAGGGGGGGCTGCAGTGGGGTTGCCTCGCACTCAGTCTGGGTTTGTCTGCTCCGTGCTACTGAAAGTGGCATTGGGATAATGACTGCATTTAACCAGTTTAACATTTAACCAAGGCAATATGATTGAAGAAAATAGTATGTTATTACATCAGGATGTCACTATTTAAGCTTTTATGTGCCCTTGAAATTTAAGAAATGTATCCATCTCAGCAAGAATTTACATAAAGGTATGAGAGACAACATTTTTAATGTGCTGTCTCTGAATACTGAATCATTTCAGGACATGAAATTTGCTTGGTCTTTGAATTATGAAGAAACATTATGGCCATTGTTCATTGTGACTGTCTTGTCCTGAGATGACCTTTATTCAAAACAGTCATATAATGGTTTTGGGCTAACCTCTTACAAAAAATATCACATTTCAACTGTAATAATAAGGTTATTTACAGTAATTTGCTGTTATTGAATAGTGCATTCAGTTGTTTTATGTTTAGTTGTTACAGGATACAGCTTTCAAAACTGACAGGTTGTGTAAATGCTGCTGGGAACTGATGTTCTTTACAGCACACCAAAGCTCTCTCCCTAAATCTTTCAGTGTATGTGTGAGAGGCTCTACCACAACAACTGTGACAATGCAGTGAAAACGATTAATATAACATTTACACAATGTTCTGTACATGAAATATTGAGGCATTCTTAATCCTTTACTTAAATTAGGTCAGTGATCCCTCAATACATTTCCACAGGGCTGCACTCAGTGTGCAATGTCTATAGGAATTTTAAATATTGTCAGTAGTGATGGCAGCCACACAACGTTTTCATTCCGCCTCAAGGAAACACCCACTTTTCAAAATAACGTTTATATCCCAAGGCTTAAGAGACGTACATGACATCTGGTTCACAGTCAAAGTCAAGAGACAACTCAACTGAATGCCTGTTTTGCCCAAAGATTTAAACATGAAATGAAAATAATCTCAAAGCTGTGTTGCGTCTTTTTATGACGCCATTTTATTTAAGTACGGCATGGTAATAATAATTCTAGCGATCATATTTTGCAGCGTTTGTACATTTTGTTGAAATCCGTCAAAAGACTGACACACAACCAGGCAGACGCTCTGTTCCAAAAAACCCACGGTTATCTGTCTGACTTGTCTGGCTTTGACATCACTATGGGGCGGTGACAATAGACAGGTACATTCTCCCTCAGCCAATCACCTTTTGCAAACTGTTCTCTCGACCGAAATTGGCAGTTGCCTCAGCCAATGGGAGCGCGTTTTGTTGTTCGTTACAGATTCCAACCAATCCGAAGAGTAGCTGGGCGGACCCCCGAGCAGGAACATTCCCCGGCACAGTATCTCATTCTGCCCAGTTCGATCGGCAACGGGAGCGGAGAGAGGAACGCAGAGAGCCCGAAGGCAGTAGCCCCCACCACCGCCGGCCCAGGTTACCATCTAGCACCGGGAAACATAGCAGAGAGCCGCCGCCGGCAGAAGCCATTACCAACCAGTAGTAACCATGAGCAGCGAGGCCGAGACGCAACAACCGCCGCAGCCTGCTGCCGATGCGGAGAGCCCATCCAGCCCGGCAGCCGCAGCTTCCGCGGGGGATAAGAAGGTCATCGGTAAGACTACTGGAAATGAGCTAGTTAGCTGAGTTAGCTAACGTGGTTTGGGATACCGTGGAGGCGATGCGCAAAAGCGGCGGTCGCAAACGTGAACTAGCAGATCACCGGCTCATTTAACCGTTTGATAACTAACGTACGCTAACAGTCTAATAAAGCCATCAATTCGCGTAGAATATTTGAAATTGACATAACAGTATACGCTTTTTTTTGTTAAAGCGCCTCTTAAATTTCTGCCTGTTAAGGTAATATTTTCATTAAATTGGATATTGACATTGAGAAGTTTTATCACAAGTGAGGTAAAATAGCAATACATTTCCTATTGCTGTCAATAAGCAAAACGGTTGGTCCTGACGTTAGCTAACGTTAGCAACACTCAAATTTAAAAATGTCAGTTGGAATATGGGTCGTTATCAGTTATAGCTTTACATATCCACTGTTGTGCAAATAGTTAAATACTAGTTGTAAATTATGAACTGTGTCTCCAAGTGACATTTATTTCAGATCAGAATATATGGTTAGCACAGGTAATCCTTCTGTTTCAACCGGTTAATCTCTCCGTTCACCGGCCTTCTAACGTCCAGCCACAGTATGCCATGTTGCCGATCGGCCGTCACACGCGCTATCGTTGAGGTTGTTTCAGGACGCTTGTCCCTACGCTAACGTCGGTGCCACTGTCCAATAAAAGTAGTCAGGCAATACGACTTGACGTCGAGAGGTTGTAACGTTATCGTTAACTGTAATTTACACAACAGTTTATCATACATCATGGTGGAACACGAAGTTATTTCACAGTGCTCATTAGCCGGCTACGACTACTGTAGTCAAAGGCAAGCTAACGTTAGCTGCTGGCCGTCCCTTTGTTCACAGCAAAGCGGCTGGTTCCGCATTAGCAGTATTTTCTCCAAAAATAATCGAAACATGTCCGCAAACGTGTCCCTTAATTAGTCGTCTGAATAATCATCGCGATTCTGGTTTATAAATCCAACTGTCAACAGTTGTTGGATTTTCTTCAAATTTCTGGGCCTAGCTACTTATCAGCGCTGGTAGCTCGTTGGCTAACGAATGTACGTTAGCTATTTACATGGCTGAAGGGGCAACCCAAAATGTCCGCCCTGCGATTCCATGGATATCTTTGGCCATTTAGTTGTTTGTTCGATGAAAACAATTGTAACACCGACATATTTCTATTCAGTCTTGCTTAAGGTTTGGCCTCAATAGATACTCTCTGATGTACTACGATAGTTTTCGCTTGCTGGCTTTAATCCAACCACATGGTTGAGACCCTGCTAGCTACCATGCTAACGAGCCAGCTGAGTTTACGGCTTGCTAACGTATCCGGGCGCGACTCTACCACGTGTGAACGCTCAAGTCCTGAGCAGTGCGGCTTAAAATGGGGCAGTAGGTCTGTCGTAGTTGAACTTTGAAATGCCAGCGACCTCAGCGTAGTATCTATTACCGCATCCACCCTTGATATACCGTACTACGGCGGCTCCATGTGATAGAGGCACTGATAATTTACATGATGAGATGTCTTGAGTTCCGCACGAGAAATAGCGCAGTCATTAATGGGTCATGAAGCTATTGGTTCATATCAGGTGCAGCTGGCATAGGGCACCCCCTAAGCATCAGGATCTATAAACGGGTGACAGTTGGAAGTTAAATATAACTTCCACGTTATCTGGGCTTGGTTAGTTTGTCATCATCTGTCGTTATTTGATTCCCTTACTGTTTCTCATCAGTAGAGGTCTAGTGAAACATGGAGCAGCTGGTTAGAGGCTTTTCATTTATCCTACATCTCAACAGTTTAACATTGAAATGACTGAAACTTAATCTTAGTTAACACTTTTATTTCATTGTATGTCATTGCAGCAACAAAAGTCCTGGGTACAGTCAAATGGTTCAACGTCAGGAATGGATATGGTTTCATCAATAGGTAAGTGGACCCCACCCCCATCCCCACTTCTTAAGTACCCTGATATCATCTTTGTGTGTGAAGGAACATTCCCAATCCTATTATGACTTTGATTTGCTTACAAAGCTGAGTAGACGATTTGTCTGCTGGTCTCTCTGCTGTCGTTACACACAGTACTTATCCTTACACTCTAGTTAAGTTGCAATCTGTCTACAGATACACTGATGCATTCTGCGGCTCATCATAATACTGCTTACTAGAAGTAACTGACAGTATTTTCCTTTTTTCTCTCCAGGAATGATACAAAAGAGGACGTTTTTGTACACCAGGTAAGTTGTAGTTAGTGTTATTTTCCTTTGTCGTTTCTCTAAATATTCATGAATATAAAATCTCATCTGAACTATTCCTGTTTTTAGACAGCCATCAAAAAGAACAACCCGAGGAAATACCTTCGCAGTGTTGGAGATGGAGAAACTGTGGAGTTTGATGTAGTTGAGGGAGAGAAGGTAAACTGCTTTAATATGTAACTCAGTCTGTTATGTGACTAGGTCCAGAGTTTTGGGATTTAGTTTGGAGCAATTGTTTGTTCCCATGATCATTAATTTGTAATGTTAATGTATTTATTAAAAAAAGGGAGCAGAGGCGGCAAATGTCACCGGCCCAGGAGGCACCCCAGTCCAGGGAAGCAAGTACGCCGCTGACAGGAACCGCTATAGGCGCTATCCCAGAAGAAGGGGCCCTCCTCGTGGTGGAGACTATGAGAACTACCAGAGTGACGGAGAGGGTGAGCCAAGCAGCGGAGGTCGAGACAAAGGCAGCCGAGAGGGGGGAGAGAGCGCCCCTGAAGGAGACTCGCAGCCACAGCAGCGCAGACCCGCATACCCTGGCAGACGGCACTACCCGCCATACTTTGTACGTAGACGCTACGGCCGCCGGCCCCCGTACACCAACGCACCACGCGGAGAGATGACTGAGGTACGCCATCACAGGGCTACTATCCTGAAGCAGGCACCCAGCCGTCCCAGTCGGGACCCTTGATATGTTGATGTCATACACAACACCCTCTCCTTCTAACACTCACGTGGTTGTGAACAAAAAAATCTTGGTGTATCGGGGGTCTGGCCAGTATCTTCCAAAATGACTCCAATGAGACCCTAATCTCAGCAATGTTGGAGCCACCTGAAGTCGCTCTTTGCTCAGCCTCAACATTACAAGGACTGTGCATTGCATAACTACTGTTATAAAATGTTGTTTGTCTACGTGTTGGCTTTGTAAAAAGCTGCATGTCAGTTGTCTGATCTATTTGCTTTCAGGGAGGTGAGGGTGACGAGAACCAGGGAGGTCCTGACCAGGGCAACAAACCAGCGAGGCAGAGCTACTACAGAGGCTTCCGACCAAGGTTCAGACCAAGGTTTGCATGTTGGCTTCATTGAAGCAGGGCTGCAACAAAGGGAGTGTAAAACACTGGGCTGTTTGAATCCTAGCCCAGAGTGCACTAACTTAAATACACCTCTTCAAATGAACATGATAAAGCAAATGCCACCTGTTTTGGCTACTGACGCTCTCCTTTTATTGCAGCCTAACCTCAAATTGCAGCTGTGCATTCAAATTTTGATCGTGTACATTTTTTTTTATATTCACAATTGCCTGCGACTTTAAAGCTGCATCTCATCTCACTGGATGATGTATTTTTTGCATGATATCACCATTTCTTGGTTGCTGTATAAATCATGATTGCTTATCCCCCCTTTGCTTTTTGCTTGTTCACTCCAGGGGTCCACCACGTCCCAGACCGGTGCGGGACGGCGAGGAGGACAAGGAGAATCAGGGCGGCGAAGGTGGTCAGAACCAACAGCCCCGCCAGCGGCGCTATCGTCGTAACTTCAACTACCGCCGCAGACGCCCACAGACTGGTGGCAAACCCGGCCAGGAAACCAAGGAGGCCAAGACAGGAGGTGACCCATCTGCAGAGAAAACGTCCGCTCCCGAGGCCCAGCAGGGTGGGGCTGAGTAGGAACAACCTGCCCACCGGCACCTACCATCTTTTACCATCGTCCGGGTGAGTCTGTAGCCTCATGATGACTGACCTGAGTCAGACTTGATTATTTCCATTAACTTAAACCTCGCACAAATCTGTATTCAGACAGAGCCGACAGTAAAGGATAATGACATTAAATAAGCTTAGCTCTCGTATTTAAATATAATAGCTAAGCTAGCTAAATAAGGCTGTCATTTGCACTTTTTAGGCTCTGTAGTGGATGATCCAGAGCATGAGGTAATGCAGTGGATTTGATAAAGCAAACTGTCTGGCAGCATAGAGCCCTCTCACTATTGTCTCTTCTCCGTAAGAGCAGCAGCTTTAGGCTTTGGATTCTTTTTCTATCTGGTGATGATGCACATTTGTAGGCAATCCATGCTGCAGCATGCTACATGACTAAACTCAAATGGCTGAAAATGTATCAAACAGATGAACAATTTACTAATTTTCCAATTTTCTTCTTTTACAGTTTTTTTGTCAACAAGATGAAACATCAAACAAGATCTGAGCAATAAAGATTTGACTTGACGATCGTCACAAGCTTGCACCATGCATTTGACCAGATTACCACCGATTGCCTGCAGAATCTATGCAGACTTGTTTTTTTTCCATTATTTTTATGTGACAGCTACAAAACGTTTTGGGGAAACAGCAAATGTTTTTCTAAATCTGTCCTAAGTTTTTACACCAAATGGTTTTTAAAGAAAAAATGGAATTTGATATCTGGTCAGTTTGACATTTTTAAATAACTTTTTATGTATTCAAACATTTTAACAAAATGCAAGCTCAAATAAAAGTCCAGAAACCAGGAACGTTGTCTGTGTGTTGGCTTTATTTTTATATTTCAAGTATACGGGCTCTAAACAATGACACAAACCACATTATTTCTTTCAGTTACATAGTAGACTGTTAAGTTGGAGTGTTTTTCATCCCAAATATGAATACATTCAGACAAATAAAGCCATGTAGTTGAGTTTTTTTCAATCAACTACATTTAACAATGGCATTTATAATGGTAAATGTTTCACTTTGATAATTCTGTCACATTTTCTTTTACACCAAGATAACAAATAAACCCTACACAGCATCTTTAAATGACATCACAATGCAATACAATAAGAAATGCAACCAACTTTCAGCACTATATCAAGTTCCTCATCTTGAGGTCAGGTGGCAAGACTCAAGAAACCAAAGTGTAGGTAATACACTTAAATTGTTCTGCATGCAACTCCTCATACAACTCTGTATGTAGACAATAAAATAAAGTTTGTAGCTCCTGGATTCCACATTAAATCCTAGGCTGATTCTGAGGCTCATTGTGAACTACAGCTATTGAGTTTAAATTTACATTCACACCAAGGAAATCACAGGGTTGTACCGTACAAGTAAATATGTCCACTGACGGCCACTAAGTCCTACTATTGAAAATGTCCTTTCTCTATTTGGCTGCACTTAAAGGTGGAGAAAAACACCCTTATACACAGTAGCTCTTCAACAAATCGCTATTGGCTGAGATTTAACTGTCAGTTCAACCTGATGGTCAAGTTTTAAAATAACTGGTTTGAACAGTCTTGACAGCGGAGATTAACATGAAACATGGCCGGCCCAGAAACCTCATGGTCACATGGTGCTCATCATAGACCACTGGGGTACCAGGACAGCACAAGTGGCCATTTTTGAGGCTTTTCATATCCTGGTAAATGTCTTTCAGTGTGATGTTGATGGACTTCTGGACCACTGTGTTGCGTCTCAACAAAAACCGAACCTTATGAGCATCACCAATCTACTGGAAGGTGTTTCTGATATTTTGTCCACTCCCTGTGCATCCTGGGAGTCACTCAAACATTGGTCTCTTTGCGCAGACGCTTCATACGCTGCACATTGTTCTCCATGGCGGTGGGATTGGTGATCTCAGTGGCGCAGGTCGAAGGAAACCAGCCTCTCACTCCATCTCGCATCCTCTCCCCATAGCACCAGGCTGGGAAGAGCACACAGTTTAAGATGCCTCTCTAAGAATTCTTGTATGCTTTTATATGAATTTATATGATGTTGTATTAGTGGCGATGGAGCTCAGTGCACACACGTGCACACACACACGCACACACACACAGAGGCTCACCTTCCTCTTTCTGCATCACGATGACGAGCTCAGCTTGTTTGAGCCCCAACTCATCTGGCTCCTTTGGCATGTAGGCTTTGGTGGCCTCATACTGCGGCAGACCTAAAACACATTCCCATAATGCAATGTGATTCATAAAACCAACAACTTTTACATTGGGTGAAGTATCGGTGCGTTCCATTGCAACAGGAAGTCAATTTATGAGTTCCCAGTTGGAAATTTTAACTGGAACACCCCCTTAAGTCATATTTCAGAGCAGGAAAGTCTGAGGAACCTCACCAACCACCAACCTCATAATCCAATATGGCTGTTTGGCCCATTAACGGTAGTTAAATCTGAAGTCATATACTACATACTGGGTTAGTATAGTGTGTTAGTAGTAAGTAATATACTTCTGTCTCATGTATGTCTCATTAAATCAGCCAAGTACACAGTACTGTCCAACTCTTATGTGTGGAAATTACAGTGTAGTGCATTCTTATCAACTAGTTTTGTTAACTACATCTTGGTTTTCGCGCTTGCTGTACTGGAATGCGGTCAACTTGTGTGTGACGTCATTCCCAGCTCTAACTCTGAAGCTTCCTAAGTAAATGGAATGCAGCACAAATTTACCTTTGTTTCAAGTTTCCGTTCTTTAGCACTTTGTACGTTGTTCATCTTACTGGTGGAGCGTTTGCAACCCTGTACTGTAAAAACACTACCTGGGCCACACTGCTGAATATCTACCGCACATTACATCACTTCCTGGATTGTGTCATTCTCCCTGAGAGGGCACACCCTTTGATAAAGATATCAAACAGATAAATCTGCTCTTAGAACAACTGCCATTTCACAAACAGCCTGTGTTTGCTACTCGTGTGATGGTTCTGTTTTTAATAATGTATTTGTATGAACGAGATCATGGCTTTAATTCAAACAAGATTTCATTTAATATCCAAAATACTGTTCATATTATGTGGACTACAGATCTATAGGACACTATGGTCCAGTACACATAAAACTAAATGATCGCTCCACGTCTGTCTTGGTTTTGAAACAGTTCTGTGCATGTCCAAGACACGTTTGGCACACACTGTGGGATCGTATAGACTTACATCTGTTTCACATACAGTGTACAAGCAGTAAGGTTAAAGGTGCTGTACTAGAATGCTGTTTTCATGTGCTGCATTTGGAGTCAAATGCAAGTAAGTACAGATTAAAATCTTGTTTTTAAGTGTTTCTAAAACATCGTAAACCCAAAGTCAGGATTCACATAGATCAAGAAAATATTGGTAAATAGTTTATTAGTCTGAACAAGAGGGGAACCTGTGCAGCTGTGATATGTATATGAATAAAATTGCATTTGAAACAGCTGCAGACTAATTTGAAATGGAAAGTGAATGCGAACCATCTGCTTTCTGTGCAGCACACAAGTTAATAATGTACACATGAAAGGTAAAGGACCAGATTCATCATTAGCTGCTGCTTTCAAAGACTGACATGTACACACTGAAGACAGGTCGAGCTCAGAGTTAACTCGGAGTGTATTTTAAAGAATGACACCCTTGGTAAATACAGCATGCTGACTTACCATCTTTACAGATGAAGACTCCTGCCTGCTTGTGTTCTGTAAGTGCGACTATCCAACGTGCCCGGTCCACCCTGAGTAACAGAGACCAAAAAAAGTACTGTTAAATATGACTCCAAAGCCAGTGTTGTGTATTGTACATGTGATACCAGTGGACTAAATGCACAGGGACATTTTAGGTTGCCATTAACAGTTCTGCCAGTAGAGGGAGCCAGACACAAAACAATTGATTTGGGTTGCAGCAGGAGGACATGAGGTTCCACTACAGCCTCACAGCAGGGGATAGCTGCCCCCAGCTGCGGTGCAGGACCGCAGCCAACCCCTGATGATATCCTCCCCGCAACCATAAAGGGTAATTTTCTGTATTTTTCAACCTGGACCCTATTTTCCCATATTTCTGTGCTGAAGCGACAAATGGGAACGGCAATTTTTGAAATTGGTGCAGTACTTTTGACTTTTGTTTAACCAGAAACAGCCGTGGAATCACCACTGCCAAACGCACCAGACTCCATTTAAATAAACAGTGATTTTAGCATGCATAGATACAGCCTATTCTCACATCTAACCTGGTGTTAAGGGTTTGTTTCAACCAAACCAGAGCTGGTGATAGTTAGAGGAGTGAAAAGACAAACCAAGATGGCTTTTGTGAGTTTTATTTTGTGTCTGTTGACTTTTAACGAAGTGTGTTTAACAATAATAAAATTACTGTTTATTTAAATGGAGTCTGGAGGGTTTGGCTTTAGCGATTTTGAGACTGTTTCTGGTTTTCAGAAAAAGGATCTTACTCTTTACCAAAAGGTCTATCTCTGTCGGGGTCCTTTCCATAATTTTGTCAAACACTTATAATAATCTGAGCGTGTTAGTGGCAAAAACAAGCGCTTTTATTGGATGGAAAATGCACAAATGCCATGAGTGTTTACACTGCAGCCTGTTTTGTGGCTGCCAGCTGCAGAGCTCTTGCCCAATACTGGACACAAACACACAGAGCTCAAGGGCACAGCTTGAAAAATACCTGAGTTACCATTTAAACATGACCATCAATATGAGGTAAAAGGAAGGCTATTTGCATTTATGTATCCTCCTCCCTCCCTCTAGATGAAATCATACCTAATGTCGCCTTATAATATTTGAATCTTGTGTTTCAAACATACATCCCCCACTTAAGGGATAATAACTGCACTTATTATGTGCCGCTCATGGCTGATGGGAGGTGAGAGTGGCCGTACCTGGACTCAGCCTGCAGGATGATCTGCACTGCTCTGCCCTCGCTGTTCCTGCTCATCAGCAGCCTGAAGGAAAGATCGTAGCTGGAGCCATTCCTCGGCGAAGTCGCCCGTCCCTCTGTATCCCCTTCGATCTCCACCTCCACATTCTCTAGGGTGGCGTAGTCCATCACCACAAAGCTCTCCTCACTGGACAAACAAACAGTTTTTATTCATATGTTCATTTACAGAATCATTTTTAATCAACTTGTGCAGGAACATTCAGAGGAATAATATGATTTTAAATGATCATTTTGTGCATTATAGTGTAGCGTAACCCAGCAGCTGTTTTACTGTGTATGTGTGTGTACTATTAACACATTCAGACCACATTCCTTGACTATCTGCTAATAGCATTTCCTAGATATTATCACATGACAACTGGGTCACAGTCTCGACTTAACAACCCTGAAAGTGACTCCAGTGTTGTGGGCTGCTCCTTCCTCTGTGCTGACATTGTTTGCTTTCTCCCTAACTCAAAACAGAGAGCCGTAGTCTGTCGAGCTGACATGCTGAATGCAAGATTGAAGAATCTCAAGTATGCACGCACCACATCCATGCTCTCTCCTTTCTCCGTCCCTGTCCTCTCCTCATTTCACTCTGTTTCTCACGTCTCCTGTCCGCCAGCAGCAGCAGCTGGATCTACTCAGTGTCCACGGGAGTCACCCGGAAAAGACCACAAAGCTCATGAAATGCTGCAAAATCTGGTCGTGGATCTGAAGTTTGTCCCTCTCCAGCAGTCTCCATTTTAGCAAATGACACAACTAGGTTATTTTATTAATGAAAGTGAGAGTGATTTGATCTGTAAGAAGCTTTCAAGGAGTACTTCACCCACAAAACTATTTGTAAATCAGTTAGTCATGCTGTGTCACCTTTTTTTCTTGCATGCCCCCACAGAAAACGGCGAACATATTGATCTACTGACTGACTGAGAAACACATTAAACAACAGCAAAACTGAATCAAGGGCAGGGCTGAAAGTCAATCATGTCTGGCTTTGAAGAGAACAAAGATAAGTTTCACTTTTAGGTCAGTTTTAAATAGTTAGGTTTTAGAAAATAGCATGAGTTTGGGAAGTACTGAGCAAATGACTGGACAAATAAGACTATACTACAGGAACGGTAAATGGACCTGCACTTGTATAGCACCTTTCTAGTCATCTGACCACTCAAAGCACTTTTTACACTAGGAGTCACATTCACCCATTCCCACACTACCAGAGGTAGTGAGAGGAGGCAGAGGCTACCCTACAAGGTGCCACCTGCTATTCAGATTTTAACACGCTCACACCCTGATGGAACAGGCATCTGGGGCAATTTGGGGTTCAGTATCTTGCTCAAGGATACTTCAAGATGCAGACTGGAGGAGCTGGGGATCTAAGCACTGATATTCCGATTAGTGGACAACTCACTCTACCTCTAGTTTTGCTGTTGTTAAACATGGTCCCCCATGAATCAATAAATCAATATTTTCATCATTTTCCGTGGAGGCATGTGAGAAAAACATTTTCTTCACGATTTCAAGGTAAAGCTGCATGACTAATTGATACATAAATGATCATTTTGTGGGTGACGTATTTCTTTAAGCTTTGAAATCAACATTTACCAGAGGTCACCAAAATTAGCTTCCTGCTCTGGCTTCTTTTTTCTAATGTCAGACTACTTTTCAACAGGATATTACAGGAGGCTGAAAGCATCTGAATTATTGTGTTTATGTTGTTTTGTAAAAACCTTTTTCCACAAAATATTACATTTGACTCTACAGGTTTAGAGTGTAGGATTTAGTGGCATTCAGCAGTGAAGTTGCAGAACTAAAACTTCTCCTGTGTGCCAAGCGCACAGGAGAACTATGGTGGCCAACACAAAACGCGAAAACATAAATGGCCCTATCTAGAGGCAGTATTTGTCTGTACATGTATATGGATATGAACAACTCATTTCAAGGTAACGAAAACACAACAATTCTTATTTTCAGGTGATTATAAACTAATGTAAACATACCATAGTTATTAATATTATATACCATTTCTGCCAATAGATGCCCCTAAATCATACAAGCTGGACCTTCATCCATCCATCCATCCATCCATCCATCCATCCATCCACCCCAGACATCCCTCTCCCCAGCAGTGCTTTCCAGCTCCTCCTGGGGGACTCCAAGGCGTTCCCAGGCCAGACGAGATATGTAATTCCTCCAGCGTGTTCTGCACCAGGGCCTCCTACCAGTGAATAAAATTCAAAAGGAACTCTGTATTTTAGTCCGACTGACCTCTTCTTCTTGGTGACGATCAGTACGTCATTGAAGAGAAACAGGTAGTAGATCCTGCTGCTGAAAGCCCTCCAGATGCTGAGCTCTTCAGTGAAGAAGGCCAGCTCACCACGCTTCTTCAGCCACCGCGATGACGACACCAAAGGAAACGGCTGTGAGGACACAAGAGTTATTAATCCAAGTCAGCAGAGTGGATCTGCATCAGTACTAAATGAGGGGAATCCACCCAAAGCCTCATCCAAGTTCAATTATTTTCCTTGCTTTTTATTTTTTCACCAATAGCCAACAATAACAAACACAGCTTACCTTGATTTTACCAAAATCCATCTGTTTCTGGATGGTGTACATCTGCTCCGTCCTCTCCATCCGCTGAGCTCCATCATTGCAGCTGGTGACCAACTGTTGAAATAATAATCACATCATCATCATCATCATAGCAAATGAGAGGTCGGGGCTAAAGAGTGCTTTCTCACACATCTCTACCTTGCTGATGGCGTTCAGCGCCCAAACAGCAGCAAAGTACTCCGCTGTCTTGTCTGGAGTTTTCTGACAGATTGTCTGTGAGGAGGGAACAAAGAACCAGTTATAAAATTCTGCCAGCAAAACAACCTTCTGCACCACTGAACATGTCATGAAGCTGTATCTGGAGTTCCTAAATCATCAGTAACTTATTAACTCTCGTGTACATGTGCATACTGTATGTGCAAAGTTATAGTATAGTGCAGATATATAAATGATTTTTATTCACGCGTTCACTTTTTTCCTAATTTTCTAATTTCTCTCCAAGGCTCCTTTTCTAGCTGCTATGTATCTTTTAAGATGTTGTTCATCTAGTCAAGTAAAGGTTAAACTGACATCCAGCAGCAGCGGCAGTCTGGTGACCCTCTGCATGGGAAGGATGAGGAAAGAGATCATGGGCAGGCCTCCACATTCACTGCTCCCTTCAATCTGCTTCAGGGTCTCTTTGAACGCAGTGTTACTGGTTCTAATAGAAGCAGAGAAAGAGACAAGTTGAGCTCATCCTGCCGTGTTACTGCAGAAACTCAGCTTGTTACGGGTTTTTGTTGTGCTACTCACATCAGCTTCTGCAGCGTCCTCTGTTGGAAGGTCTCGTTGGAGCAGTAGACAATGTAGGGCTCAAAGTGGTGGGCAGCGTGGTTCTGAACAATATCACTAATGTCCCGGATTACTGGGTTGTCATAGTGACGCCGCTCAAGGTCCTCAAAAAACCTGGAAATGGAGAGAGAGGGGGAGGTTTAGTAAAGAAGTGAAAGGACTGTGTTTCCCTCCCACAGAGTGATTATTTGAGCAGGACACACAGCTGTGTGAGCGCACAGCATGTTCAAGCTGAACTGAGTGTGGTGACTTATAGGTTTTAAGTGTCAGGTGAGTAGTAGGGCTGGGCGATATGGGGAAAATCAAATATTACGATATATTTGACCAAATACCTCAGTATCGATACTGCAACGATATTTTTGGGTTGACTATTGGTGCTTTCACAAAATATTTACACAATGAGATTTACTACGATGTTGGGCAACATTGAGAAGACATGTTGATGGAATACTTCACTACTACTAAATGATCATTTGTATATCAATTAGCCATGTCATGTTACATTGAATTCATAAAGAAACTTTTTTTTTGCATGTCTCCTTTGAGAACGCTGAGCATATTGATATATGGATTGATTGGGGACCATGTGAAAAAACAGCAACTACAGTGGAACCCACTTATAGTGATCACGATTACAGTGATCAGTCAGCCCTGGTTCTAACCCAGGGTGGGGGAACCCCTTTTGTGTGAGTTTGCATGTTCTCCGTGTGTCAGCGTGGGTTTTCTCCAAATGCTCCAGCTTCCTCCCACAGACCAAAGACATGCAGGTTAATTGGTGACTCTAAATTGGCCGTAGGTGAGTGTGAATGGTTGTCTGTCTCTGGCAGTCTGGCAGATTTTTCTTGACGCCCATGATACTTTACCTGGAAAGAAACACACTTTCTCTCACTGAAAAACATAGTCTCCTCGAGCCAGTGAGATGCAGCAGCGTTACCTAGTGTTCTCAGGCTACCTTGCATAGTCAATTCTAGACTGCTTATAGCCATTAATTTGACACACACATGCATCATCACTATCAGAGCGTTCCTCTGTGTATCAAAACATCTATTTACAAACTCTCACGTAACTCGTGCTGTATAACCCAAGTCTCATTTATCCAGTCGTAGGCTCAGTACTTCCCAAACACATTCATTTTCACTGAAACCTTACTATTTAAAACTGAACTGAAAGTAAAACTTATCTTGCTCTCTTCAAAGCCAGACTCCGATACTAAAGACTGGATAAACGAGACTTAGATTATACTGCATGAGTTGTGTGAGAGTTTGTTAATGGATGTTTGATATAGTCTGTTGTGTTAAACATGGTCCCCAATCAATCAATATATCAATATGTATGTCCGTGGAGGCATGCCATTTTCTGTGGAGGCATGCAAGTAAAACAAAGTTTTCCTTAAGGTAACACAACATGACTAATTGATATACAAGTGGTCACTTTGTGGGTGAAGTATTTCTTTAATATACTAAAATACTAAACCTATGTACAGTTTAAATATTTCCAGTAAGATCCAGGTGGTTGCTTCTGCCAAAGCACTGTAAAGGCTTTCCATTACTATCACAACAGGATAAATGACTTTCAGCCCTGCCCTCGCTGAGTGCCTTTTTAACAAAAAGAAGTAAAATGACACCTGGAAAACAGCCCAACCCAGGAAGCATCTCCAGGACACACAATCACACACAGCCACTGTCAGTCACATCATACTGCTGCTACTGAGGCCTTCTAGTTTCACAGTCCTGTTTTACTTGGAAACAGAGAACAACAGGATGAAAGATAGGGTGACACTTCTTCTCTTGCTGCGTAAAGTAGATCTATTTTCATTTAAAATAGCACAGCCAGCCATGTACAGAGCAACGCAGGCTGCTCTCAAGCACATTATCATCCTAAAGCCCGGGAATACCACTCAGGGAAGCTAGGCAGCAGAACCAGTTTGGTTAGCGTGTTTTAACATGTTGATGGAGCCTACAGGATACTAAACACATGCTCAGGGCAAATACTCTACCTGAAACTTTAAATCAACACACCTACTGCTTGAAAACATCTATGTGGGTAACTGGGTATACATCATTAACTGTATGACACACACACACACACACACACAAAATGACTCAATGTGCAGCCCCATTTAAAATCTGTACACACTGTATGTGGATAATCAGACCATTACCTTGCTTCACACACTGATAACATCATCAGATCCTTTTTTTACAAGGTGGTGAACCTCCCCCAGCACTTGTTTTCCATCACACACACAAACACACACAAATAAGACTATCAGAGAGTTGTGCCCACCGTTTGCTGACTTGGTGGATGACAGAAATGTTGGAGAAGAGGTGATGGTGCTCTGTGGCCGTCATCGTTTTCCTCAGAGCTTCACTACTCTTAAAGTGACGCACCAGAATGCCCAGACTGTGCAGGTACGAATGCTCCGATGTGATGATCTCAAAAATGGCCTGTAAAATGACCACATAAACCAAAGTAAGTGTGCATGTGAAGGAACAACACCCTGTTGCAGCATTTACTTTCTTTTCAAGCATCAAACTTGTGGTCTGTACATTTTTGATGAAGGTTTTTGATTTACTTCTTTTTTAATTCGAAAGGACTTAAAAGAGATCACTGACTTGGCTGACCCAATTTCCTCAGGCAGACTGTTCAGAGCCTCTGGGCCCTGATAGCAAACACTCTGTCCCCTTTAATTTTCAGCCAGGCCTCTGGAACAGACGAAAGACCTCTGCCTGAGGACCTCAAAGTATGTCCTGGCATGTACGGCACCAAGAGGTCTTAGATATAGCAGGGAGAAAGACCATGAAGAGCCTTAAAAGTAATCAGTAAAATCCTAAAATCTATTCTAAAACATACTGGGAGCCAGTGTAAAGAGGCTAAAACTGAGTGAACACATCACTCCAGGGTCTGTGGGTCTAACGGGCAGGTACATCTGTGTATCATCAGCATAAAAATGAAGAGACACCATGTCTTGGAATAATGTGCCCAAGAGGAAGCATGTACAAGGGGAATAAAATTGGTCCCAGATTTGACCCCTGAGGCACACCATACTTATGAGATAAACATGAAGAGAAGTGGTTGTTAACAGAGACACAAAACATCCTTTTCATCAGATAAGATGATTTTTGGGTTAAAACCATGCAGTTTTTTGAATGCATTGTAAAAGTATTATATTGTGTATTGTATTTGAATATTTCTGCATACTGGGGACCCTAAACAGTCTTGCAATTGCATAATTTGGGTATGACTGGAGAGCTGAGACTCTTGTGGATTCAATGGGCTAAATTTTGTTAATGTGTGTTGATATTAATCCCCATAGTAGCCATGTCATTGTAGTGAATACATTTTTGGAAACTGAGATCACTGTATAAAAAACCTTTTGTGACCTCTAGGATAATCACAGCCTCATGAAACTTTACAGCCACGGCTTAAGGTTTGTGATATCAAATCACAACATGGATTTTTCTTTAGTGTTCCTCAAGGTCTTGGTGTTTTAATGAGGTATTTTGGAGGGAATTTTGACCATTTTCGTCAATTTTCGAGTGGTAAAAAAACTTTAATGCAAAACCAAACCTGTGAAACAAATGGTATCAACCCAAAAATGTCTGCCACAACTTATTAAACTTAATTGAGCACGAGAATGGCCATCATATACTTCCATCATAATGTTCTAAGCTCTAATACTCTCTAAACCTTAAACTTCGAATAGGTGTTTAAAGGTAGGGTCTGGAGGATTTTCCAGTTGCTGTTTGTAAACACACATTCAAATTTGGCCCCTCCTATCAGGCTCAACTCTCCCGGGCGTACGGAGCCCAGAGGTACAGAAGAAGGCTTCACAGAAGAGGTTCAGGCAAGGCTCGCACTGGTGCACGCTCGGACACGCTCGGGCACGGCACCTGCGCTCTCTCATTGGCTGGGGAAATCTCTGCCCAGAAGCGGTCCGAGCTCACAAAAACATCAAAATACAGTTAAAGGGCAGGAGCTCTGCAAACAGAGTCACCACCACACATGAGTAGAAGCCCATAGGTGGTGATTAAGCAGGATTTCATTTGTATATGTCTATATTTTGTTTTGTTTGAAAATCCTCCAGATCCTACCTTTAACCAAAACATAGTGTTTATTAAAGCTTCATGATCAGAAAAACTTGACACAACGTGCTGCGCTGCATCTCAAATTAATTGTCAGGTTTCCTGTTTTCAGGTGATGTTTACTGCTTCTTTGTGGCATTTACTGTTGACCTGCTGTCTCCCCTGTCCCTCCCAGAAAAGATGAGAGATGTTGAGTCTCTAGGGGTTAATAACATCCAGAGAAATGGCCTTTACTTTCTGTATTCAAATATGGGTTTTACTCATAGATGAACAGAGCAAAGCATCAAATAGGTTTTTCAAAATCACTGACATGTAACATATGCTGTGGCTGCAATGCATTCTGGTCCTGTGAGGCTGCTGTTGGTTGGGAAATACACATTTCTGCTCTCCTCTATGACTGACTTCTCCCTACATCTTATTCTGATTTGTATTGACACTACAATCTGACGTTTACTGGTATTGTTTTAGACTCCACTGAAACTTAGACTATTCTCTACACACTGTAATATAATAGTTTACCAGTTATCTTCAGGAATCAGAGGCAAATAGCAGCAGACAACAAAACATATAAGCAGTGGTCAATTTGTAGCGGTGTTCAAAGTATTGTTTACTGTATGACGGTATGAGTATTTTGAAATGGAGGGCTTAGTTAACCTCTGCTGTTTGTGGTCAGGAGGTGAGCCATCAGGTGGTGCTGACACATCTTCCACACCCCTTCACTTCCTGTGAAGGTGAAGTGGCTCAGACAGGACCAAAGTGCACTGACTGAGCTCAATCAAGAACTATACTTCCTGAAAATCTCAAACCAGCTTTCATGTTTAAAAGCTCAAAATATCACTATTGAATAGTAAATAATGATCTGTCTGGTAAAGCCCTGCTTTGTCTGAGTTACAGAGCACACTGCTCGGTCACAACAACTAAACCCATGAGGTGACTTATGGTACAAAAGAGCAAGACGAGCACCTGCTCAGCAGACGGGCTGAGTGTGATCACATTGACAGGGTGTGGCTTTATTCAGGGACTAGAGTGCACACAGGGTGGACCTTTGGTATTGACACAACATCTGTTGTCATACTGCTGCTGCAGACTCATTACAAAAGGGGAAATCCACCCTCAGACAGAGTTACACTGTAAGATGGTACTGCTCTGTGATGTTCAGTTGCTTTCTAGGAGTTTTTGTTTTTGTATTGAAATGTAACTGGCTTTGTTTTTTATATCTAAATTGCCCCTGCCTGTTTTATCTACATCTGCTGCTGCTCAGTGACTTCCTTCATTTCCTAGAAAGCCTTCTGACACAAAAGCTGAGAATGAGTTTGAACTTGTTGCCAGACAATGTTGGCAAGTGTGGGATGGAAATCAATATGACTGTAGATTATTTATTCCCTATGTTAAGACACACTTCATGACCCTTATGATGTCATCTGAGCAATCTTGGCTTGGGTCTGAGTCTTAAACTTTTAACAGATGCTTTGGAACTGCATTGTGGGAAATGTAGGATCCTGTGTTGATTCAACCAAACCACACCTGCAGTCAAAGGCATTTTTACTTGGGAAGGTTCCTAATAGAGTGAAATGACCTGGAAGTATCCAAGTGTCAGTCATGACAGGAGCTGTTTGAATTCTCTTAAAGCTAGGAAAGGTGCTTCAATGCTTCCTTTATTGTCTCCTTTAGCATAGGACACACTAGACCACCCTTTATGAAAGGAAAGGAGATCCCACAATTCCTACAGCAGCAACATCTAAAGCAACGCACTGGTCAGCCGATCTTTTGGGAAAAACTTTTTTTCAAAAACATATTGCTTCTTATATGCTTATTCTTTCATTATATTTCACATGTACTTATATTTCCGATCTACCGTTTTCTTCAATGGAGCCTTTCAGAGAAAATGTTTAACATGATTGTACTTGTATAACCGGAGCGACAATAAACATCTCACAAAGATCATAATCAGGATATCAACCATAACAAAGATGTCTGTCTTTTGAGAAAAGGGATGTTTTTAATTCAACATGTTTGAAACTTAAGAATGATGATATGCAAAGTAGTGGGCCTAACCACTGCAATGATGATGCGCTTTGAGTAGTCCATCTTTGGAACATTTTAGTTTCATCACAGCAGACCCACATCGATAACATCTGACGTTGCATAATTAGGGAGCCTAGTGTAAGTGCACTCGGACTCTATTAGCACCATTGCTGTCTTTTCTTAAGTCCTTATAAAATGTCCTTGACCTCATGATGATTTTCATCAAGGTCAGACAACAGTGGTTAGGAAAGGAGATTTTTTGACTCTAGTCTCTTTACCTGAACATTTGTCGCTGAAATGTCATGATGTCATTTTCGCCCCAAACTTTAAATGCAACACATCTTAGGGCTGCATTGCATTCTAGTGTCAAGCCTACGGTATATGAAAAAGTTATTACATTATAGTTATTCTCCCTATATGACTGCTGGATGTTAATGAAAAATACAATTTAGAAAGAAGACTGTGTTTACATTGGGATTTTTTTTTTATAACTGAAAGATGTTCAGTCATTGAGCTGCATCAGAGCTGCTTCCTGTAGCACCTTAAATCCACTCTAAGACATATCTGTACGCATAGTTGATACGCATGATGCCTATCTGCACACACACACACACACACGCACACACACGCACACACACGCACACACACGCACACACACTCCTACCTCTTGTCTCTTTCTCTCCTGAGGTGAGATCAGTGTCAGGATACCTGTGTTCTTCACCTTTGAAAGAGATAGAGAGAAACTATTGTTAAGCTCCCCATTCTGCTGTATATTTGAGACAGAGCTTGTTTTGAAACCGGTAAAAATGAAATGTTAACGACCCCAGCCTGTCAGACAGGCTCGGTGGATATTCTGACTTCCATAGCAAACTTAGCTGTTCTCTCTACACAGGCTCATAAAGTGTGGGAGTTAACGCAGCAGCATGTAAGACTGTAAGCATTTAAAAAATGAAGATTTTAGTTGGATATCAGTTCAGCTACGGGTTTACCTGCGGCAGCTGGCTCCAGGTGAGCTGTGCCGGCCGGTAGCTCTTTACCACGATGCCCTGATCCTCCACTGGAGGCTCCACTACCACAAAGTCGTCCAGCAGCTCATCCTGGTTGGTGGAGTGCAACCCTCGCTCACGGATCTCCTGGTAGAGGCGTGGCGTCGCTGAGGATGGCATCAATTAACAACACTTAAGATTCAATTCAGAGTCTCAGTGTGCAGCGGTTTTAGAATTTGGCTTCACGTGACTTTTTATGTCTCACAGGGAACATTTTTTATGACTACAGAAGTTCAGAGGGCAAAAATTGGTTTCTAAACTGAGATATTTCTGTCACAATGAGCTTATGCATGAGGAATTCTGATGTTATTTACCCAAGAATCTGTCACATGCATTGAAAGAAGTTAATTGTAGGTAATTTGTTAAGTGTGAAAATTGAAAGGCGAAAGCAGAGCTGGAATCTGTCAACACAATAACACGAGCCACTCTGAGAATGAAAGCGTGGGAGGTGAGAACGCATCTGTTTGAAAAAAAAAAAAAACCTGTTAGTGAGTTTGATTTAAACGCAGGTTTCTGCCTGCACTGTGTCGTTATGAGAATAATACAGAGACCACTAAGTTAATGAAAGGACACAGGTTTGATTCCTGCAGGGTTAAATGTGCAGATGAAAGCTGATTATGATACTGAGAAAGAATTTAAATGTTGAGATGTCTGCTACTGCATCTTGAAATTTTGAGCAGCCGACAGTGAGATATCAGCTCTACAAGTGAACGAACAATTCTTCAATTAAACCTTCTCAAATCCACATTACTGTAAATTACAAACTGGAGAAGTGGCAGCGACAGTGCAGGACATCACATTTTTAAAATTCATGTCTCAACAATCTGACATTTAGCATGCTGGGAACGTTCACAGTGAATGATTTCCTGCTCTGTCCTCTACTGTTACTGTTGCCTCAAGGGACCTTTTCTGAGCCATGACACATATTTCTTTGCATTCACGTATCAAGAAATTCTTCAACACATAATTGCTTTGCAATCCTTGTAATAAAAAAAGACCCATTTCATTGTTATTTCCCAACTATTTGTAGTCCTGTAGACAAATTTAGAGAAGTGGACAGAGTGACACACTGGTGAACATACCATCTTTAAAGGATCCACGTTGGTTCTGGTTCCTCTTTCTCCCCAGGGTTCGCTAGAGGGGAGACAGCAGCGCAGCCTGAGTTTAACACTGTGGAATACATGTGCCTCCATAATACTCAGTTTCTATTATATATTTTTTCTCCTAACATCTCATTCTCTCTCTCTTTCTCACTAATTCTTACAGTCTTTAATGTATACCAAAAATGCTGTGGGGACTTCCTGAACACTGGCACTGGTTTGGAAGATAGGAAACAGTTGTGGAAACACAGCATCATCACTGTGACTAAAGGAGAATTTGACAGAGGGCACCGCCAACGCTACTGGCTGTGCTGGCTGTGACCGATGAGGAAATTGGAAGAACAAAACTGTATCAGCTGGGCTCTGAGGAGCATGACTGGCATCAAAACTGACACTTTGATTTGGCCAGTTGCTTCTGATAGTCCTCAATTACACAACACTCACAGTATCCAACAGATCAGGAGATAAAATATTCTTTTTACAGTTTTTTTATGAGCCAACTGCGACTTAAAAAATCATATGATCAACAATGACTTAACAATATGGATATGATACAATACTGCCCATTGACCCGAAACCCCTTGGTATATGTACCTTGCGTCCAGGGCTGCGAGCTGGACCAGGACTGGGTGCTCTGTCCTCTCTGACAGGTTTCAGCGTGGCTGCACCCGATCGTCCCGCCGCCATGGCTTCAATGTCCAGGCTGGTCACAGCAGCTCTGTATGACTTGTTCCTGCGGTTCCTCCTCAAAGCGAAGCCGTCTCCATCACTGTCATAATCCTCCCAGGACACATCTGGCCCCTGGGTTGAGTGACGGCTCCGGGACCCACTGCTGGAGTGCTCTAGTCCCACTGGGAATGTCACCACGGTGGTGTGGTGGCGGTTCTTAGGCCGGCTGGACGCAGCCAAATTCTTGGGGATGAGCTGGTGGGTGCCTACCTTCAGCGCTGCAGGACTCTGGGTGCTCAAAACCACCTTCTGAGGCACAACCTTCCTGTCGACTTCATCCTCCTCAGGTGTGGGTGTTTCAGATTGGGGTGTGGGGGAGCTTTGCGGCTGGCAGCATTCATCTCCAGGCTCAGATATATGGAGTTCAGTGGTAAAGTGGCTCTCCAGAATAAGAGGGGCCTGGTCCCCTGTGCAGTTGTCTGACTGGCTTTGGGACATGGCGTCCTCCCACCGTCACCTCAGCCGGGTCTGCTGAGCTCTTCAGGTCCTACAACATGGAACGAATCTGAGGAGGAGGGGAAAAATTACAGACTTTAAGTGCATAACCAGGACATGTCCAAACTGCAGACAGGGAACATGTATAGCACCTTAAATGGAGACACGGGATAACAGCAGGGGTAATATGAGTGTCTGATGTCTGGATGACCCTGAAATACCACCAGTGACCTACAGTGGGGCTCCACATCTCTTCCCATCAAAGACGGGAGCCTAACCCGTGATCCAATTCCCATCTCACTCACACACAGTCAGTCGGACGGAGCAGCCAGTTGTGTCAGTCCTCAAACTCATATCAAGGGACTCAACCCGTGACTCACCGCTCACTCCTACACTGCACTTGCCCACACAGAAGCACACACAGACCTGCTCCAGCAAATCTGTGCGCCACAGAAACTACAAGAAAACAAGTTCACACTTTTCCTCTGACAAATGCTCCTAACCTGCCCTGTGCAAAGAGTAAACCATCAAGTGCAGACACACAGGCACGTTATTAAGCAGGCCTGACTCTTACAAACATGTCATTGCAGCGACAGTGTTAAAATGACATTGTAACAAACAGTAAACAGCGTTAACTGTAGTTTTAAAATGTATATAAGTTATAACACCTACGGCTGAATACATTATGTGCTTATGTTCCCAGTTAAGTCGCAGTCTGAATTTCCAGTAACTTTGCGCTGCCTGAAAAGACGGATTAGGGTGGGAGCAAAAATGTCTGCCTCACATTCCCATGGTTCATAACAGCGAGGTGAAACGCAGTTCAGCAAACAGTGAGACTGTGAGCAGCTTCCTTACCTGTGAGAGGTGACCTTACAAACACCAGCCTTCTTATTAAACTGTATCACAAGTGAGTCCTGCGGTCCTCAGAGAGCTGCTGTCCGGTGCGTGGAGAAGTGCAGCTTTGGCAGCAGATGTAGTCCTCCGCTCCACTCTGTCACATATTTCTTCTTACTCACTCACTTCCTCCTCTGTTTGCAGGCGCCCATTAAGTCCCGCTGATGACGTCACCACAGGTGAGTGTCAATCAATCATTGAAAACTGCCACTTTAGATGAAAGCAGGTAAAGGCTCACAGCTATGGAAGAAACTTTAAACAGAAAAACAGCTTTAATATTTAGATTAAGCTGCTGTTTCTGAGACGCTGGACTACTTTATACATAAAACTAGTTTCCAATCAAATGCATCCAAAACGTCAGAAGGACTTTGTCTTTGATCTGTCCATACACCCATAACCATATAATTCTCATTGTCCGATCTCCCATCGAATTCCTACTCTTTCTATTTTTCTGATGTTTGTTGACATCCTGTCTCCTTAATTGAGAACAAATAGCTTATTGGCGCCATCTGGTGACCAATAGGGGCCTCTACACTGCATGTGGAAACACAGTGAACACTGCGAGGTAATTTTCATATACACAAATCTAAATTTGCTCAATCAGCCCCCTGCTGAGAAATTTTTTTAATAGATTTTTTTGTTAATTCTAATACAGTCTGTGGAACATATAAATAAGTAAAGTTCCTCGTACTTCACTATGATCAATTATTCGGTGATCTGTCTATTATATAACTTAAAAAGGCTGTCTTTTATTTTTATTTGCTTAATGTTATCTTAATAATATCTGGAATCTAGGATGTCTGTCTGACTTTTTGCTTCTTAAAAAAAGCTCAGCCATTGACATGATACTTGATTTATAATTGATGCACAATTTTTTTTTTGCAAAATTAAAAAATGAAAAGACAAAAACAGTTCATGGTGTTTTAAAGTCCACATACAAAAATCAAACAATTAAAAATCTTCCCCACATTCCAGAGATTTTTTTTATGAGAGTTTTCTTATTACAAGGATTCTTTGAAAGCAGTAACCAATAAATAAATGTCAAAGTGTCTAAACCTAATTTTTATTAAAGTCTCGACCACTTTTTTTGTTTATTTGTTTTGTTACATTTTATTACATATTACCATTATTTTCTATTTAATCCTTATTATAATAATTTCGAGAACCGTCACCTTATCGTGGTGGAGGAGTTTGAGTGCCCTAATGACCCTAGGAGCTGTGTTGTCGGGGGCATTTCTCCCCTGGTAGGGTTTCCCATGGCAGATTGGTTCTGGGCAAAGGGTCAGACGAAGAATGGTTCAGAAGACCCTTCATGATGGAAGATAACAAGAGTTGGTGTACCCGGCCCGGAGGGTTACCAGGGCCCCGCCCTGGAGCCAGGCCTGGGGTTGGGGCCCGTGGGCGAGCGCCTGGTGGCCGGGCCTTCGCCCATGGGGTCCAGCCGGGCCCAGCCCAAACCGGCTACATGGGCTCGTCCCCCTGCAGGCCCACCAACCGCAGAGGGATCCAGAAGGGTTCGGTGCAGTGTGGATCGGGCAGCAGACCAAGGCGAGGGCCTTGGCAGTCTGATCCTCGGCTACGGAAGTTGGCTCTTGGGACATGGAATGTCACCTCTCTGGCAGGGAAGGAGCCGGCGCTTGTGGAAGAGGTTGAGCGCTACCGGCTAGATATAGTCGGCCTCACCTCGACACATAGTTCCGGCTCTGGAACCCAAGTCCTTGAGAGGGGTTGGACTCTCTCCTTTGCTGGAGTTGCTCCGGGTGAGAGGCGGAGGGCCGGGTTGGGCTTTCTGATAGCCCCCAGACTCTCTGCCTGTACGTTGGGGTTTACCCCAGTGGACAAAAGGGTTGCGTCCCTGCGCCTTCGGGTCGGGGAACGGGTCCTGACTGTTGTCTGCGCTTATGCGCCGAACAGCAGTTCAGAGTACCCGCCCTTTTTGGAGTCCCTGGGACGGGTGCTGGACAGTGCCCCGAC